AGAGCGGCCGTGTCGTTGAGCTTGAACCTCTTCTTGCCGATTTGACATTCAATAATATTGTCCGTATGGTCACAGGAAAACGCTACTACGGAGACGAGGTTCGTTTACATATATTCACCAATTCTTTTACACTTCTGATATTCTTGTAGAAAATAACATTTGATGCTGTCATATTAACTAATTAATATTTTACACTTCTCATATGCTTGTAGAAAATAATATTTAATATTCACCTACCACACACTTGATTCAGTCTCCAAACCAAGTCGTAAATTCAAACTTGTTTTGGATTATTGACCAAGTGTATACAATTTTAAATATTAATTAAATATCGTTCCCTGCTTTTTATACACTCATTATATTGGATGTGGGTTTTTTTTTTTGACAAATGAATGTGGATCATTTAGGCTAATTATATTTCTTAATTATTGATTTCTTAAAGATTCACAACAAGGAAGAAGCGGATCTGTTCAAGAAACTAGTGACAGAGATCAACGACAACAGTGGTGCGAGCCATCCGGGAGATTATCTACCGATTCTGAAAATGTTCGGACACGGCTACGAGAAGAAAGTGAAAGCACTTGGCGAAGCCATGGACGGTTTCTTGCAGAAACTGCTCGACGAATGTCGAAGAGATGGAGAGAGCAACACAATGCTTAGTCATTTGTTGTCTTTACAACAAGACCAACCCAAGTATTACAGCGACGTCATCATCAAAGGTCTCATGCTCGTAAGTACACACACACACATGCATGATACATATAAATTAACTTAAACCTAAACTTCATCTAATACTCTAATAGCATGTTGCGTTTCATTTGAGTTTTGTGGTTACGTGCATGTTTCATTTACACGTACAAAAATATTAAACATGTGATGATTTAACGAATATTGTGGAATGTATGTATATAGAGTATGATGCTTGCGGGGACGGATACTTCAGCCGTGACGTTAGAATGGGCGATGGCAAGTTTGTTGAAAAACCCTGAAGTATTGAAGAAGGCTAAAGCCGAGATAGACGAGAAGATCGGAGAAGAGCGGCTGATCGACGAGCCGGACATTGTGAACCTCCCTTACCTACAAAACGTTGTTTCCGAGACCTTTAGGTTGTGTCCGGCCGCACCGCTCCTCGTCCCGCGTTCTCCTTCAGAAGATATCAAGATCGGAGGATACGACATACCACGTGGCACGATCGTACTAGTGAACTCTTGGTCAATCCATAGAGACCCGAAGTTATGGGATGAGCCCGAGAGGTTCATGCCAGAGCGGTTCGAAGACCAAGAAGCCGCGAATGTTAACAAGCTGATGGTGTTTGGGAACGGACGAAGGACGTGTCCCGGTGCGGCTTTGGGACAGAGGATGGTTTCGTTGGCTTTAGGTTCGTTGATTCAATGCTTTGACTGGGAAATAGTCAGCGGTGAGGAGATTGATATGACTGAGAATCCTGGAATGGCTATGCGCAAGCTCGTGCCATTACGAGCCGTTTGTCATCAGCGTCCCATCATGAATAGTCTCTTGGCTTAATTAAAATCACATCCTTTTGAAGATTATTTACCGGTTCAAACGTGTTTTTTTTTTGTTTTTTGTTTTATATATAGGTCTTATACAAATATATTGTTTAATAGCTTGGAGATTAAATAATACTGAGAAAACGTATGATTCGGTTAAGAATTAATGTTTGTATATCAGATTCGAGTCATGAAATTAAAATAATAGTTTTTTCCTTTGTTTGATAAAGAATGAAAATAACAGTTTCGATTATTAAAAAGAAATGCATGAGAGACTGAAAGAGAAACATGCAAAAATGTTTCAAAAAAAATTTAACGTTAGGTGGCACGTCTATTATCCCATTAATTTTTTTCTGAGATAAAATGTATCTTCATAAGTTACACTATAAAAAAAATTATGCCTTGATTTCGATAATTTAATACATAAAAATATATAAATACAAGCTTTTTTGTTTTTGTTTTTTGGGTGCTTTTTGTCATTTTGTTGAAATCTGCAAAAAGAAACGACATGAAACCCAAACAAAGCCCAAAACAATTTACAGTACGAGCAACAACTTGAGCCTGTGAAGCAAAACATAAACCGCCATTATCGATCAACCAGAGTTCCTCTGCAGATTCTCATTTCTCTCCCACTTAAAAGCTTGACAAGCCAGACTAAATTCTTAGCTTACTCTGCAATTAGAATTTGTTGCTTACCGACGATTCTCGTTCGAGCATTGCAAGTAAATCGGAAGAAGCAGCGAACACAGCCTTCAGGTTCAATTTCTCCTAAAAAAATCCTTTGAATCAGAGTTTCTGCGTGTTCATTTGAATCTTCCTTTTGCTAGAAGAAAGCGACAACCAGTTTCTCTTCGTACTTTAGATTCCCTACTCGTGATAATATGTGAGACAAAATATTTACAATCCGTTTGCTTCTTCTTCATCTTTCTTTTCTGGGTTTTTGTTTGATGGTGATAAATTTGAATTCTGTATGCGTTTTACTGGATAATTAGAATATGTTTTTGCAAAGCACCTGAGTTTCTTTGCATTAAGGTGTTAAGATCACATAATGATCATTGCACCCATGTTGTTCGATGAAATGCCTGAAAGAAAAATTAAAAATGATTCCTTTTATCAAAATTCATTAGTGATGCCTATAAAGTTTTCAAATTTCCTCATTTAGTTGATGATGTCAACACAAAACACAAAAATTCACTGATTAGGCATTGTTGACGAGTTATCTTCTCAAGTAGTGGTCTGTTTTTACCTTAAGTCTGATGTACATTTTTGTTCGTCTCAGATGGGAGATGCAACATTTCTCGATAGAATGCTTCTCCAGCTTCGTTCCACTTGCAAGTAATGAGTTTGAATTTGTATAATTTCTTGATAATAATATTGTGATACCACAGACACAGCCACTCATACTTTTCTGTTGAATGTGAAGGTATTACAGCGGTTACCCTAAGGATCTAGGTCCATCGCGGGTTATCCATTTTACGTCGGAAAGAGAGTTTGTCCAACTCCTTCACCAGGGCTATCCTGTGGTCGTCGCATTCACCATAAAGTAACTTTAACTTTCCACAAAATCCATTGAAACTGCGCTCTCATTTGTACATTTCCATCTCACATGTGTCTCCATTGTACAAATACAGAAGTAACTACACATCACATCTTGATAAGATGCTTGAAGAATCTGCTGCTGAGTTTTATCCCAACATCAAGTTTATGCGTGTGAGTTCCTCAACAATAGTATAAAAGAATACAATGGAAACTTTTATAAACCATGAAGTGAATGTTGTTTTTGTTTGGATTGTTTCAGGTTGAGTGCCCAAAGTATCCTGGATTCTGCATAACTCGCCAAAAGAGTGAATATCCTTTCATTGAAATCTTCCACAGCCCACAGCAAGTATACTTCTCTTTTCTTGTATTTCCGGTGTCTGACATGTTTCTGTGAGCCCTGTAAAATGAAAATCCTTCTGATGCAGGCGGGTAATGAAGGAAAGGTCCAGGATCCGAATATCACCAAGTATTCTGTCAAAGTCGTACCTGTAAGTTGATCCATCACAAAATTGTTTTTTCTATCACCTTTCTGGGAACAAAAATCTTTTTTTTTGTTGAGATAATGCAAAATTACATGTTTTCATATGTTGCGGAGTCTAAAGATCGTTTTTGGTTGTTATTGTTGTTTCTTTTGGCAGTACAACTATGATATGAGTCCCTATGGATTCAGAGAATTCTTCAAGCGCCAGGGTGTTCGTACTTCGGATCCCAAGTGAAGCAGTTTTAAAGTTGGTTGGTATTTGGAAGCTTTTGTGAGTGTGCCAATGGCTTCTGTGAGCTACCAATGACTGTTTGAAGAACTTTTGTAATACTAAATTTCCCTTTTCCAAAGAAAGAAAGAAATAATTTATTTTTGACGTCTGAGAGAGTTCTGCGATTTGCACGAATCAATGCGTAGAATGATAAAGGAAGAAAGGCATTTCTGTGACTTTATACTCTTCAAAAATGTTCCGATCCCCTGACCTTGGCCATGATTGATGATTTGTACCTTTTCTTTCTATAAGCAGATCAACAATTAAATGTTTTCATTTTGTTTACTCGGCCATCTTATAAAATGTATGGTTGAATATGTATGTAACAATAATATTGTTATGTAACTCACTTTTTTTGTTTTGAATTAAAAAAATAAATATATCTAACAATCTTGCAACGATTAAAGCTTTTGTATCGAAAATATCCTGTCAATTTATTTCCTTAAGACAAATAATAAAACACATCGTGTAAATTTACTTGTTCATCGTTCTCTGTTATGAATATTTTTTGTTTGTTTGTGTATTTTAATTTGCAGATATACTGTATATGCTGTACTTTGGTTCTATCAATTTTTTGTATCCAATTTCAAAATAATTATATAAGAACAAAGTTAATAAATTTAGTTGGGAAATGGTGTTTTCTCTAACTTATTAGAATCAGTGATGCATGCAAGTCGAGTATTTGTCTATTTCTATCATTTGGTCAACTATTATCTCTTTCTTTGAATGCCATAAACGACATGCCTAAGAAAAATCCACTTTCCTCGGGTCAATTTTGTTTTTCTCTCATTATCAACTGTTAAAAATGAAAAGAAAATCCAAAATTCAAATAAAATTATTGTTCTGTTACATACTCCATATTTTAAAGATAAGTTCTTCACATTCTGTTTCATAAATGTTGAAATATATATTTATGTGTCTAACTTCTAACTAAACAATGTGTGATGTATCAAAAATATGATATACTTTTTTTTTTTTTTTTTTGTCAACAGCCTAAATTCCTATACCGGTCCGGGAAGCGGAATCGGGGGAACTGAGTTTATGTAATACACATCATGGGGCTGAGCTCGAGCACTCCGTGCTAGCTTGTCTGCCCTTGTGTTCTTCGTTCTGGGAATGTATGTGAGGGAGAACGCCTGGAACATCCCTCTACAATGCTCCACTTCTTCAAGCAAGATCGCAAAAGCTGGCCACTCGGCAGGTTTGGACACCATCTTCACCAACTGAGCGCTATCTGTTTGGAAATTCATCCGTCGTTTGTTATGGACTAGCATACTTTGCATAGCCCAAACCAATGCCTCCAATTCTGTTTGAAGAGGAGATAAACCCCGCCGTAGGTTGCTAGACCCCATCAGGACAGAGCCCGAATCCGGGTCAAAATTGTACCATCCAAGTCCAGCCCGACTGTCTGTCACTTTCCACGCTCCATCAATCTGACACCACTCTCCCGGTGGGACGTGGCCGGAGTTGATGGAGATACTATTGGATACTCCGTCTGCTACCGTTTGTGCTGCTACCCATGCCCGGGATTCCGTTATCGCAGATTCCATTACTTCCTGCGGATTTTGATCATCATTTGAGAAAACTTTGTAATTACGAGCTTTCCAAATAAACCAGAGTAACCATGGATACATCAACATGTCATCATTGTCTGGGAGGTTCCAGAATAGATGTGCCATATTTGAGTACAGTGCTCCCGTAGGAAAAAACTGGGGAGGCGTAGGTATGGGAGAGAGTGCCCAGGCCTGTCGGGCCGGGGGACACTCAAAGAGCATATGATTGATAGTCTCATCTCCCATACCACATCTCACGCACAGTGGGTCCACACGCATTCCCCGACTACATAAACGTGCGCCAACCGATAAACATCCGGTAATAATTTGCCAGAGAAAATGTTGGAGTTTTGTGGTGCATTTAACCTTCCAGGATTGCGCTTGCAATCTCCGAGTGTCCGGTCCAAAGACTGGTAGTGTCCCCTCATCGGAAAGCTCCTGTAGCACAGTATATCCCGATTTAACCGTATACCGACCCGTTGTTGTATAAAACCAGCCCCAGGTATCGGGTTTATATCCAGTAGCCACTGTTATACCCGTAATGCGAGTGATTTCCTCACTCTCAAAAAATTGTTGCAATAGTGGTCGATTCCACGTTGAGGTCTGGGAATTAATTAACTGATTCACCGTGAGGTGTGGGTAGTAATTAATTCCTTTACAGATAGCTGGCCTCGGGCAAGAATCGGAAATCCAGGGGTCATACCATACAGATATAGATGAACCTGAACCAACTCTTTTAATAAGTCCTTTGCATACCAGAGGTCGAGCTGAAACGATACTCTGCCATCCATAAGATGGAGAGTAAGAGCGAATTGGGTCCAAGGGGGTTGAGTTCCGAAAATATCTCCCCTTGAAAACTTTAGCAAACAGGGAATCCGGGTTATCCATTAGGCGCCATAACTGTTTTGCGAGTAGCGCTGTGTTAAAATCTTCTATTACCCTAAATCCCAGTCCCCCGTCAGTTTTATGTCGACACAGCTTCCGCCACGCGAGCCAATGCACCACATGTAAGGGGCTGATTTCGCTTCGTCGCTAATATAAGGTTTTCTGAAACGAAGAGAGACAAAGATTTCATTAGTACTAAAAAAAAAAGAGAAATAAAATAAGAAACATAAACCTGTAAAGCAGAGATTAGATTAGTACCTCTTGTGAAGGACTCCACTGTCTCTACATACATCTTGAATGGCTTCAAGTCGGTTTAGTGTCTTACTAGCATTTCGTTCTTGTCAACCTATATACATGCATAATATGTTAATGTAAATATAAAAACAAAAACAGAGTTACAATTAAAACAAAAAAATAAGGATAAAAACAGAGTGACAAAACACACTCACTCTCACACACACACTCTCAATCTCACACTCTCACTCTCACTCTCTCACTCTCACTCTCACTCTCACTCTCACACTCTCACACTCTCACACTCTCACTCTCACACTCTGATCACTCTCACACTCTGATCACTCTCACACTCACTCTCACTATCACTATCACTCACACACTCTCACTCTCACTCTAACTCTCACTCTCACTCTCAAACTCACTCTCACTCTGATAATGATACCACTTGAACAAGATAATATGTAGGTATAATGGATTTGGATCCCTCTTTGACATTTCATGTAAACGTCTTCATATGTGAATGAATACACTTCTTTTTGGGTTTTATTTGTGACTTTTTCAAATTACTTTCATATAGTGATTCTTTTTAAAGCATTGGTCTTCCAAATAACAAAATTCTGGATTCATGTCAGAGTTTGTTCAAGTTAAAGTTTCTATTATTTTCTTTCTTGGCGGAGTTTAATGAGCTTGATGAAAGAACATATAATTTGACCTCAACATAAACAAGGGAGAAACAATATCCATGAAGAAAGGCACGTTTATTCCAGTTACAGATAAAATAACAGAAGAAAGACAAGGCACTGACTAAATGAAAATCTTACAGATTCAGAGCAAACAAAGATTAATGAGGAAACAATCAGTTCTGTTACAGGACTGAAAATAAATGAGAGTTACGCGAATAAAGATTGGAAAATAACTTCGAGAAACTTAGAAGTTAATCATTTCAAGATCGTGAAGTGTTATAGTTAAGAGCCACCTACACTAGTTGGTGTTTTAGATATGCAAAGAGCAATATGGCCAGTAGAAGCACAAGCATTGCAATCTGCAATTTCCGGATTTAGAGGAGGGTGATTAGTAAACCATGCTAACAAATTAGATACGTTCTTTGAAAACGAGACTGAAATTAACTTACCAAGAGAGCCTTTGATTTTGATTCGTCGTTAACATAAGATTTTCTGACAAGAAAACAGAAAGACAAGGTTCATTAGAACTTTAACCAAAGACTAAAAGATTGTTCTCTTACTGCGATGCCTTTATTGGATTTTAAAACGTAAAAATACTTAAAAGCGAGACTAAGAAGAAGAAACCAAGAAAGAAAGAAAAAAGAGTCTACCTGTTTTGAAGGTCTCCATTTTCTCTGCAGAGTTTCTTGATTGTTCCAAGTTGTTTTAGTGTTTTCATTGCATTTGGATCGTTCTTATCAACCTGTTAACACATGTCAATACACAAAAAACACTGAAATCAATATCCTATTTCAGGGACAGTATGTATACCTTTTTTTCTATCATGCAAGAAAAATCATAGAATGCACCGTAGACATCATCCATTGTCTTTGTGCGATCAACTACTTTAGCGACTATTCCTAAACCATAGAAATCATTTGTCAATAAATCAGTCTTCAGCATAGCAATGTTCTCAGCATAACTCAGTTATTTGACTGACTCAGAAAATAATTAAATTATTAATGCTTAGCTTTTGGTTGTAATAAAGCTTCAGGATCTAGATGATGAAGGTGTGTCAAAGATATCTTACCTCGCCTCAGTTTCACGACGCCTCTAAATACTTGTAGATTGTTATAGCATAATGCAAGTGTTCCAATCGCCAAAACCTAATAAAAATGGAAAATTCCTTTATTTCAATGTAGTGAAAACAACATTTCAACTAGATATTTTAAAGCAAATGTAAACTATGAAAACTATATAGGAAAAGCTAAAGTATATATATATATATATATATATAAGTGTGATAAAATTTTATTTTTCTCTAACCGGAGGGATGGCACCCGACAGAAATATTGAAGGAGTACGCAAGACAGCCTTGGATTTTAAGAAGTCTTCAACATGAATCAATGCATTAGTGATCATTTCATTCAAACACTGCACTGCTTTTGTTGAATTTTCCTCATTTTTGAAGTCCTACATTATAAGAATTCACACAAAAAATAGTGTTAGTATTTAAATTTTAACATGAGAGCTTGAGAGTGAATTACGTGTGCACCTCGAGCTTGTCAACATATTTTCCCCAAATCTCACGTGGCCAAAACATGCGTGATTTTGGTATCTCATTAATGTCCTCAAGATAATCTCTAATGATATTTGTTTTCTGCAAATAAGATAATAAAATAATGATTTGAGGAAAAAACCTTGTATTCTACAATCTCATAATTAATACATTGTCGTACCTGCAGAAATACACCATTGGAATTTGACATATGCTCCCAATCTGGAATCAGTACTTCTAATTCAGAAGCGAGGACGAGTTTTGACAAACTTAAACCCACAAGTCCAGCAACATAATGACAGTATTCATCATAGTCATCAACCGTTTCTACCTGTCGAAACAAATCATTTTCATCTCATCTAACAAAAGCAATTACTATATTTATACATTTTGAGGGTTTAGGGTTTAGTTTTGAGGGTTTTCACTTTAAGTTAGTTTTAGTGTTTTGTTATTCTTTGATAAACATCTATGATGGTATTTATGATAATATTCAAAACTTAATGATGGTATTTTTGGACCATATTTTGTGGTATTTATAAGAATTTCCCTTTTGATAATAACTAAGTAATTTGGACCTTTAATGACAAAACGAAGCATGAAACAAATGAAATCCACATCACAAAGAGTCAAAGAGTCTTTGTATCACAAACCTCTTTGCAAATGAATTTGGCCATTCCTGCACCCATTCTTTTAGTTGTATCTTTAATAATTTCTTGATACCTTTTATGTAAGTTAGTTAAACAAGATGAGTGAATTAATTAATATCTTTCAGAAAGTGAATCGAAAAAATCAGTAGATATAGCAGATCCTAGAACTAATTTACCTTTCTTCAAGTTGAAGAAAAGCTGCAGAAACATGGTGAAATTGGTCCATAAGAACCTTGTACTCCTTAGTACCACCTAAAAATCGAATGAAAAGTTAAGTTTTTTTATAAAACAAGAATCACTTGTATCTGAAAGAGCATTAAGATCTTGAATGGACTCTTCGACTTACATGAAAAATGCCAGTCAGGATCGTATATGTGACGGTGGAAAGCTATCAGAATTGGAACCTTAATCTCCATTGGTATGCTTGTGTCATCCTCTGTGTAGTAACAGAAAAAAAACAAACTAGAAGATAAATTAACAGTTCAGTGACTTTTACATCAAGAATTAGCTGTCATGAAAGAAATGAAGACGGATCTATATATTACTAAAAACATGAATACATTTTAAAAGAGACAAAAGATTTGGAGAAGAAGCACCAACCAACTGTATCAAGAGCTCGAAGAATCAAGTAAAACAAACACACCTGATTTTAAAAGGAAAAGAAAAATGTTTATATGTATTATTGTTTTAGACGAAGAAAAAAGAGGCAAAGAAAAACACGTACGGTGTCACGAAGCTCGGGGCCTAATTGTTGAATAACAAAAGAAAAGCTCCTAGAAACTTTGATGAGCGTTGAATAACAGAAAGCTAAGTGTGGATCAAGTGGGATCTGTTTCTGAGCTTTCGTAATCGCCATTTTCAACTTCAAGAGTGGATATATCTCATCTGGATGCCTCAGAATCGTACTCAAGCTTCCCATTTTCATCGTGATCTCTATCAAGAAGCAGAGGAAAATAACCACAGTGACAACAATGGCGGGTTCGTCGGCGAACAGAATGCAAAAAGCAATCTTTATGTAGAGATTCAAGATTCAAAGATGTTCTGTTTTGGCATTAAAATGCTTCCCACGTTCTACTACAGTAATCTATGCATGAACTAGGGGTTTCAGAGACTGCTATTTTTTTCTGGTTATTTAAAGCTTTTACGATGATTAATAATAATTGAAATGGTTGAATGATTATGAATTAGTTGTTGTTTTTTTGGTTTAACATACTTTCCAAGAGAGTAAATTAACTTGTCTGCCACATTCAAAAGTCGTCTAGTGCCTTTATTCACAAGTAACCGGTACCTTTCTTTGAAAGTTAGTTATTACCGATATCAATAAACTATCCTCGATTCAAATTTACATTAAATTGATGCGGTTTTCATGGAGCCCCTTTAGAAATATTTAGTTAAGTAAATTCATTAATGATATTTTTGGTATTTGAAGTCGATATTGCTCGTTTGTCATATGGTCTCCTTATTTTAATTAATATTTGTTGTTGTTTCCCATTACATTGCAGAGCCTTAAGAGCTAGAAGAAAAAAAAAAAAAAAAAGAGAAAATTTGCAAAAACTTCAATTCTCAAAAGGAAATTTATATGTATGCCTTCTTTCGATTTGTGATAAATGAATAAGATAAGACTGGTTAAATGACTTTGTATCTTGTGAAGGGCACCATTTTCTATGTAGAATTTCTTGAGGGTTTCGAGTCGGTTTAGTATATTCATAGCATTTGGATCATCCTTGTCAACCTACTATTATTATAAAATAAAAAATATTTTCATCTTTTAATGCCAACGATAAAACAGCTGGAAATATACTAACTTTGGGTACTGTAACTTTATTCAACCGACGAATAAAATAAAATGCGAAGACAAAGGCGGTGAAATGGCTCAACAGTATCAGATCAAACACTCTTTGCAAGAACAGATAACTCAAGGTAACGATTGATTTGTCGATGTTCATCACTCAGTTTGCTCTGAGATACACGAAGACTAAGGCCAGAAGTGGCAACAGCATTACAATCTGCAACATGTAGCTTACAAAGAGAGCGGTTGATTGCGCTTCATCGTTAACATAAGGTTTTCTGAACCAAAGAGAGACAAAGATTCATATTAGTTCTAAAACCCCCAATAGAAAATCTATTGTAGAAGAAACCAAATTAAAGAAAAGACGGTACCTCTTGTGAAGGACTCCGCCCTCTCTACATACATTCTGAATCGCTTCAAGACGGTTTAGTGTCTTACTAGCATTTGGATTGTTCTTGTCTACCTATAATACAATGTACAAAAATTAACATATTAGCCTCCTCTAAGCGAAAAAAAAAACAGAGTGACGTACAAAATAAGAAATAAAAAAAAAATAAATAAATAGGAACTAACTAATGACATACCTTTGCTTTCAGCATGCAAGAAAAATCATAGAACACACCGTAGACATCAGCCATTGTCTTTGTGCGGTCCATGACTTTAGCAATCAGACCTAAACAATAGAGATTTCAGGTTGATAAAAAAATAATAGATTGTTACATTCTTATAGTCTTGATTAATTAGGCTTGTTAATACTCCCTCCATTTTTTAAAGATAAATTTTCTAGTTTTTTCACACAGATTAAGAAAAAGTTGATTTTCAATCATTAGTGCATAGATTTCTGCAATAAAACAACTTTTTATAATTTTAAACCAATAAAAATCCAACAAATATAATCATTGTATCTTGAAAACTGAAAAAGTGCATCAAAAAGGTAAAAATTTTATCTTTGTGAAACAACACATAATGGCTAGAAAATTCATTAAAAAAAAACGGAGGGAGTAGATGATAGACAAAGTTAATGGTCTTTTTTTCCTCTTCGCAAATGAGTAACCTTTTTATGAATTAAATTAAATTATTAAAAGATGAGATGATGTGAAAGATTGCAAACCAAAAAGAATTCTGAGCTTAAAATGGTTACCTCGCCTCATTCTCACATTTCCTCTAAAAACTTGTACATCGTTATAGCATAATGCGAGTGTTCCAAAATCTACAATCTAATCAAACGTAAAAGTATTGAATGCAGGGGAAGTAAAATATTTAGGGAGGTTGTTTCACATTAGACCCAAAATTGTGGTCAAATGCAAAATAACCTCCTGTTTTTTTCATTTTAAGTTTGTCCAGTTTTTTCAATTAATTACGGGAATGCCATTACTTTTTCGATTGGTAGACCGATATTTAGGTCTACCAGATCTGCTGAAAGACCAAACACCCCTCATCTTCTACACTTAATTGCCAAAAAGCCATATCATCAATGTTGACAACCACCATTTTTACCCAATTTGGAGCTGTTAATGCTCTGAAAACTCACTTTGAGCTAGCATTGCTCCTTCTTTCATCTCACAAACTCTTATTTTTCCATTTTCTCTCCATTTTCATCCCAAAAACTTAAAAGAAAACTCAAATCTTGGGTCTTGGCATTTCCAATTGTTTAGCTTACAGTGATGACTGGAACTCGTAATTGAAGACATAAATTGAAGTTATCAGCCCTCGAAGAGCTTTCTCCGACGGCCAAGTAACTTTTCTTTCAAAATTCTAAGAATTTCAGTTTTGGTCTGCGAAGGTAGACTGAATTGTAGGTCTACCATTACATAGTAGACCTCAGTTTAGGTCTACTGGTCAACGCAGAGTTGACTGTACCATTTCCTTTGCAAACAAAAAAAATGAGTGGTAGACCTACACTTAGGTCTACTCCACGTGGAGGGTTAGTTTTGCAATTGATTGAGAAAAATGTTTTTTTTTAGGTCTACCTTGTCGGTCTACTCCACGTGGAGGGTTAGTTTTGCAATTGATAGAGAAAAATGTTTTTCGGAGGTCTACCTCTTAGGTCTACCTAAAAAAAAAAGTTGGTTTTGCCGTTGACTCAAGTTTGACTTTCCTCAAAAAGGAGAGATTTTGTCATTGAGGTCTACCGTGTAGGTCTACCATCCGGTAGACCGCAGTTGAGGTCTACTGGTCAACGCAAAAAACTGAGGTCTACCACGGAAGTCTACCCGAGGAAAGTCAAACTTGAGTCAACGGCAAAACAAACTGTTTTCGGTAGGTAGACCTAAGGCGTAGACTAATTAAGAGGTCTACTTTTTTTGGTAGACCGATTGAGAGGTCTACGTTTTCTGGTAGACGTATACGGTAGACCTCGTGTAAAAGTCAACGTTTGGTCAATTGCAAAACTAACCCTCCACGTGTAGTAGACCGACAAGGTAGACCTCCAAAAAAACATTTTTCTCGATCAATTGCAAAACTAACCCTCCACGTGGCCGTCCACGTGGAGCAGACCTAAGTGGAGGTCTACCATGAACGTCTACTCCGAACGTCTACGTTTTAGGTCTATTATTATGTGTTTTTTAAAATGTCGTTTTCCTTTCAATATATCAAATATTTTGAAATTTTCTCGAACAATTAGTTGTTTTTATTTGTTTACTTGCTTCTGTGTGAGTTTGAAATGTTCTTTCGGCGTAATTAAGGTTATATTCGGTTTTCTTTTGAATTAGGTATCTAGCTTAATTTTTCTGGTAGACCAAATTGTGGGTCTACCTTGTCGGTCTACCTTCTGTCTACTAATCCATTTTGTGATCTGGTTTATTTTTGTTGCAGGTAATGGTTTGTCTAGCTTCCGTTTATGGAAAATGGATGGTGATGGAAGACAAGTCATGGCATTTTGAGATGGACAAAGGAAAAGGAGGGAGAATGTTCTACTTACGGGATGGTTGTACACATAAGGAGCCTCTTAGAATGGAACAAGCTGACTATATGTTGGATATGGAAGCAGACATGGTGGAATTATCTTATCAATTACCAATGTGATGCTCCATCAAATACCCTCAGACTTTCCTCATATGTACATCACCAACGAGGTAGGTTCATAGCTTGATAGAGTTTATAGTTGTTCGAAGTGCAGCAACCGGGACATATCCGCCTTCATTGCGTAAGCTAATGACAACTCACAGTGTGTTCATGGTTTCTGTTTTTTTTATTACATGAGTTTTATAAAATTGGATTTTGAACTGATGTAGATGAACAACACAGAGATAGACTGAAAATAAGGTCTACTTTGGAAAGGTAGACTAAATATGAGGTATAATTCGGAGAAGTAGACTGATAATAAGGTCTACAAATGCAATCTACAACTGAGATCTACGTAGTAGATCTACTTTGTGCTATTTTCAAGTTTTTTATGTAAGTTTTCAGTTAGACTTAATCTCTTTGAAGAAACAAAACCTATATTAATAATAAGTCATGTATTGATCTCTTTCAATAAACAAAATTTGTGTATCAAATAAGTGCAAATATCAAAAGAGATCATGACAATAATAATGAAAGTTTTTTATTAGAGAAGCAAAGTGTTACAATCAAAATTGAAAAGAAAAACTGAAATCCAACAAGTAACATGAGGCCTACTTTAAAAAGATAGATTAAAAATAAGGTCGACGATGAAGATCTACGTAGAAGGTCCACACCAGCGGTCTACGTAGAAGGTCCACACCAGAGGTCTACGTAAAAAGTCTACAGAACCTTTTTCTTTTGGAGATTGTTATTCCCATAGAGGAGAGGCCTCTCATCAGCAGCTTCTGTAGTAAGACCTTCTCTGCTACAAGTCAGAGTAATGAAACACAAATCTTAAGTTTAATGAAAGAAATAAGACTAGAAATTGAGATTTTTCTGGAAACAGAAATAGAGAATTTCTCTAAACTTTGGAGCTGATTTGCAGATGAAATATACCTCTGAATGGACAACTGAAAGAAGATCTGAAAAGTTGGGTTGGAGATCTTCAAAACCGCATGTAGATCTACTCCTAGTGACTTACGAATCGTCAGGAAATTGCTTCACAAAACCTTCACAAAAATAAATTGATATCCTAAAACAGATCTGACGTCACAAGAAGAAATATCCATAACTCTCTGAATATAACTCGGTTTACCGTAATTTTGGATGTTATGGAAAGCTGAGAAAATGATCTTTCCGATGGTACCAAAATCAGCTTCTGATACTTTATGAAACGGTTGGAAATCGCCCCGTAATTGCTGGAGGAGAGAGCTGGCGGGAGGGAGGGTCGTGGGAGTCAAGAGGAGAAGTCTTCTTGAGCAGATCTGAAGGGGAAAAAGCCAACTGCGGCGGTTCTAGATCTGGATCTGGAGGACACAGATGAATGGTGGTGGTTCAAGGAGAGGGAGGCGCCGTTTGAGAAAAGAGAGTTATTGTTAAAGCTCAAATCTACAAAGAAAAGAGAGTTTAGATCTGCAAAACCAACAAAAAGAAAGGGAGCTCAGATCCACAACCAAAAGAAACGAAGATAAACATGTTATGCATAAGGAGATTCTCCTTCATCCTGAGGAACCAAAGGAAGAACCTGCGAAGATCTCATCGGCAACCGCCGCAGATCAGATCTCAAGCACCGATGGCTCCACAGACGAACGCCGGAGAGAGAGAGAGAGCGAGAGAGAGGCGAGCGCCGTTTAAGAGAGGGGTTGGTTTTTTATTTTTAACAAAATTAGGGTTTCTTGTTTCTTTTATATCATGAGATAAATATTCCGGTTTAATAAAAATTCCGGTTCAATTAGATTTAGGTCTACCGCTTCGATCTACTCGAATTGTCTACCGATTTAGTCTACCACGAAATTACCGAAACGTCGATTCAATCTCAGCCGTCGGTTTGAAACTTCGGGATTCCCGCTAGGTTAAAACGGTTGGTAGACCTTCACTTCCGTCTACTCTATTAGTCTACCTGTTAGGTCTACTTTACCCTAAACCCTATATCGAACAATTTAGATGCAATTTTGCAACGATTTGCTTGCCATATTGTCAATTTACAATGTATATTACAAATAAACGAACATTGAATCGTAAAACCAATCAAAAACAATTATTCATCTAAATTTTTTCAAAACCCTACAACTTACACCATTAAACCCTAAACAATCTACTCAAACTCTTATCCTTATGAACTATTTACATATGATATTTATAGATTCATGAGTTTTTATGAAATTTCATTTTTAATATATGTTAAATGTCTATTATTTCGTTATTTGTGAAACAAATATTTCAAATTATTTTTTAAATTTTTCTTAATTTAAATTTAAGATTTGATGATTTAGTAGACCTACTTGGTAGACCTCTCATGGTTTTATAGGCTTTTAACCTAATTTGTTTTTTTTTCATAGTTCAGTTGGTTCAAATCTATGAAATTATATTTTAGATAGATGCAAGTTGTCTGTATTGTAATTATGTATAAATAATTTTCCTCAAAATATTTTTTTTTCAATTTTTATAATAAAAATTTAAATTTAATGATATAGTAGACTTACTCGGTAGACCTCAAACATTTTTATAGATATTAACCTATGTCTTTGCTTATCTATAAATGATTCATTTGTATGCATTTATATTTTTTGTAGATGATAATGTCTATATTAGAATTATTCATACTTGTTTTTGTATAAAAATATTTTTTATTGAATTATTAATTAAAATTTAAGATGTTATTATGAGGTAGACCTCTAACATTGTCTACCAGGTAGATCTACGGGTAGATCTACATGCCCTGGAGGTTATAATCGTAATCGAGGCATGCGTTTTTTTGTTTGGTCATGAGGGCTTGTGGGGTAATTTTACTACCCAAAGAGGTTACTTTTGCATTTGATTCAAATTGTGGTCTAGTTGACTAGAAAAAATGAAATTGTGGTCTAGATTTGGTAATTCCCCCATATTTAGGTGAGTGTGAAAAGCTAAATCATTGTTATTTCTCCAAGAGGGATGGCACATAACTGAAATATTGCAGGATCACGCAATGCAGCCATAAATTTTAAGCAATCTTCAACATGAATCAATGCATTAGTGACCATATCACTCAAGCACTGCACCGCGTTGATTGAGTTCTCCTCATATTTGAAGTCCTACACATTAATTTAAAACTGAAACACGCACACATATAAAAGAAAGAAAGAAAGGAAAAAAATAGAAAGATGAAATGCATGCACCTCAAGCTTATCAACATATTTGCCCCAAATCTCGCGAGGCCAAAACATGCGGGGTTTTGGTATCTCATTAATGTCTTCAATATAATCTTTGATAATATGTGCTTTCTGTAAATAAAGTGACAAAAAATATTTTTCAAGGAGAAACAATATTGTATAGTACTGTACATTATAATGATTACCACTTAATTTGTTGTACCTCTAGGAATAAACCTGAAGAATTTGAAATCTGCTCCCAGTCTGGAGTCAGTGTTTCTAATTCCGACGCTAGGAAGAGTTTTGATAATCCTAAACCCACAAGTCCAGCAGCATAATGGCAGTATTCATCATACTCATCAACTGTTTCTACCTGTCGATAAAGAAATCATTTTCTTCTCATCTTTATCAAAAGTAAGTTCATTATATAGTAAAAGTTATAATAATATACACTTGTGTCTGAAACAATCTAAAATCGACTGTACACAAATTTATTTCTGTTACAAACCTCCTTGCAAATGAACTTGGCCATTCCTGCCCCAATTCTTTTAGTTATGTCTCCGATAGCTTCTTGATACCTTTTGTATAAGGAAAGAGAACAACATACATTAGGATTACCAGAAAGTTGAGTAGAGATTCGAAAAATCCAGCAGATCAATCAATAAATGAGGAGGACCATATTTAGTAAAACAGATTAGAAATTTCATTTAGAAAATATTATAACTAATTAACCTTTTATCAAGTTGAAGAAAAGCTGCAGAAACATGGGGAAATTGGTCCATAAGAACCTTGTACTCCTTAGTACCACCTAAAAATTATTAAATGAAAGAGTAAACTTCAGTAAAGAAGAATACTTGTATCGGATAGATTAAGATGTGAAGAGACTCTTCTTACTAACATGAAAAATGCCAGTCAGGATCGTATATGTGACGGTGGAAATCTATTAGGATCGGAACCTTGATCCCCATTGGTATGCTTAGGTCATCCTCTGTGTACGTAATAATAATACTAATCAAAAAATAATTGTATGATATAATACCAGATCAATGATTTTTTACATCAAGAGTTTGCTGCCATTGAAGTATGGAAGATGGATCTATATATATTAATAATAACAGGATTGTTTTTTTTTTAATAAGAAACAAATGATATGGAGAACAAGCACTAACCGACAGTATCAAGAGCTCGAAGAATCAAGTAGAACACACACACCTGATTAGAAAACAGAAGAAGCAAAATGGTGAAAATGTAACGCACTGACACTGTGGGGAAATAAATTGGCCACTAAAGTTAAAATCTAAATCAATCTACAGAACAGATTAGGCGTTATCCCAAACTCTTACAAAGTCCATGTTTAATTGTTACATACATATATTATATATTGCTTGAGGCAAAAAGAAACAAAATAAAAAAGAAACAAAAAGGCAAAAGGCAAGAAACACGTACGGTGTTACGAAGTTCGGTGCCTAGTTGCTGAATAATAAGAGAAAAGGTTTTAGAAACTTTGATGAGCGTTGAATAACAGAAAGCTAAGTGTGGATCAAGTGGGATCTGTTTCTCAGCTTTCGTAATCGCTATTTTCAACTTCAAGAGTGGATATATTTCATCTGGGTGCCTCAGAATTGTACTCAAGCTTCCCATTTTTATCATGAATTTTACCAAGAAATAGCTTTCAGTGACAAGAAAGTGCAAAAGACACCAGGCAATTATATGTAGAGATTCAAGATTTTGTTGCGCCAGCGATGTTTGAATAGTCACCCACGTGTTACACGGGAAACCCTAAAATAATCTGTGCATGCCACTTTCCCGGGTAATTTAATTTTCTATACAATATTCTTTTCGTTTCCGTTTCGGAAAAATGTATCTACAATTATTTAGATGTATTAAACTTAAAACACATTCATATTCATCTAAATAATTGCAGATATATTTTTTCAAAACGATAACTAATTTAAAATGGAGAGAGTATTGAGATTCCAATAGTCCCATGATTTAGAACTATATCAATATAATTATGGGGTTTTGTGTAAAACGACCGCCTACATTCAAATGTGGTCAAGCCTAGTGCGTTTTTTACAAGTAACCGACACTTTTGAGCGGTACAGTCTAAATCTCCGGGATCTCAGAATCATACTCAAGCTTCCCATCTTTTTGAAGAATTCGATTCAGAGACAGAGGAAAATAATCTCGGTGACAACGATAGCGGAAACGTCGGCGAACAAAAGGCAAAATGCCTACTTTAATCAAGATTTAAATTAGAGACCCTCTCACGTGAACACATCATAAATTTATGCTCTATTTTGGCATTTAAAAACTTTGCTTGTATTTATTTGCCTTATGCTATTATATATGTATATTGTTCTGAGATCGATCCAATCTGAAGTTGAGATTAATTCGGTAAGTTAAGTGGTGAGTTTGTGAAAGAAACAACTCTTTTCTGTAATGTATTTTTCCGAGAGAGAACATTTTGTTATATAACATGTCTGTGTAAACTGTAAATGACTACCACATGTATCGTCTAGTGCCTTTTTTCACAAGTAACCGATAAGTTAAAGCTTTTGCTTATATTAGTATAGACCGTATAGTTATAGTAAAAGTTTCAAATATGAATTCGATGTTTATAAATTGTTACGAAGCTCGGAGTGGGATCTGATTCTCAGGTTTCGTAATCGCAATTTTCAACTTCAAGAGTGGATATATTATATATATCTCATCTGGGTGTCTCAGAATCGTACTCAAGCTTTCCATTTTCATCAATTATTGATAATTCTATCCAGAAGCCGACGAAAATAATCTCAGTGACCTTTAACCAGAAAACGAAATTATAATCGCAGTGATAACAATCGCGGATTTGTCGGCGAACAGAATGCAAAAAGCAATCTTTATGTAGAGATTCAAGATTCAAGATTCAAACATGTGATATTTTGGCATTCAAAAGCTTCCCACGTGCTTCAGTAATCTATGCATGACTTTCTTTCTGTTTTATTGGGTAATTTGCTGTCTATTATATGATGTATATTTTTTTCAAATAATATGATATTGGGTAATTTCCAAATAGAAAAAAAAATAACCCAATAATTTCTAAATAATTGAAAATAAAATATACTCTTATTATTTACATCATATTGGGTAATTTGACTAATTTCCAAATAATATACATCATATTATTTGGAAATTCCGATTCAAGGAGTTTAAATTAAATTATGGATTCATGTTTGTTAATTTTTTTTCTTTTCTTTTGACAAAAATTTGTGAGCTTTGATGATAGAAATTGTAATATATAAATTCATAAACAAGGGAGAAAGAAGTTACATGAAGAAAGACACGGCAGTAACTAAACAGAAATCTTAAGGATTCAGAGCAAATCAAGTTCTTTTTTTTTTTTTTTTTTTTTATCTTCCTTGGAGGGAAAGAGATACGATTTAAAAATACAACAAAGCAAAAAGAAGATGAGTAAAAAAAAGATTACAACATATAGCATAAAGCATAGTGGAGATATCGATATATATAATCATTTTGAATGAGGCGGTGGTGGTTAAAATAAGTCCAGCGAGGAATGCGAGATCATTGTTGAAAGAAAGAGCAAACCAAGTTTAACAAGGAAACAATCAGTTTTGTAAAAGGACTGACAGTAAGAGAATTACGTGAATAAAGATTGGATAATACCCTCGACGAACTTAGAAGATAACCATTTCAAGATCGTGAAGGTTATAGACTTATAGTTAAGAGCCAATTACATTGGTTTGTGTTTTAGATATGCAAAGACCAATGAGGCCAGTAGAAGCACAAGCACTACCATCTGCAATTTCCGAATTCAGAGGAGGATGATTAGTAAACCATGCAAAAAAAATAAAAAGATAATTTCTTTGAAAACGAAATTTAACTTACCAAGAGAGCCTTTGATTGTAATTCGTCGTTAACATATAATTTTCTGACAAGAAAAAAAAAAAGAGAAGCTTCATTAGATTTCAACCAAAATTTATAAGATTGTTCTCTTATTGAGATGCCTTCATTGATTTTAAAGCGTAAAGATTATAAAAAGCAACAAACTATACAAAGAAGAAACCAAGAAACCAAGAAAAAAAAAGAGTCTACCTCTTGTGGAGGTCTCCATTTTCTCTGCAGATTTTCTTGATGATTTCAAGTTGTTTTAGTGTTTTCATTGCATTTGGATCGTTCTTGTCAACCTATTAACACATGTCAATATAAAATTAACACTGAAATCATCTCCTCACTATCAAAATCGTGAGCCATTCAAAAGACGAACATCAAGATCCTGTTTCAGGGACAGTTTGTATACCTTTTTCACTATCATGCATGAAAAATCATAGAATGCACCGTAGACATCATCCATTGTCTTTGTGCGATCAAATACTTTAGCGACTATACCTAAACCATAGAAATCATTAGTCAATAAATCAGTCTTCGCATAGCAATGTTCATAACATAAGTCAGTTATTGATCGAATCACAAACTAATTATTGATTAGCTTTTCATTGTAATTAATCCTTATGAAATGGATGATGAAATTGTGTCAAAGATATCTTACCTCGCCTCAGTTTCACGACGCCTCTAAATAGTTGTACGTTGTTATAGCATAATGCAAGTGTTCCAATCCCCATGATCTGATAAAAAAATGAAAAATCTTATATATCGACGCAGAGGAGAAAACAACATCTCAACTAGATTTTTTAACGAAAATGTAAAATATTAAAATTAGACAGGGAAAGCTAAAGAATATTCAAGTTTGATCAAATTTAAGTTTTTTCTCTAACCTGAGAGATGGAAACCGACCGAAATACTGAAGGAGTACGAAACACATTCTTGGATTTTAAGAAATCTTCAACATGCATCAAGGCATTAGTGACCATGTCATTCAAACACTGCACTGCTTCTGTTGATTTGTCCTCATTTTTTAAGTCCTACATTATAAGAATTCACACAAAAAAAAAAAACATAAAATGTTACAGTTTAAGTTTTAACATGAGAGCTTGAGAGTGAATTATGTATGCACCTCGAGCTTGTCAACATATTTTCCCCAAATCTCACGTGGCCAAAACATGCGTGATTTTGGTATCTCATTGATGTCCTCTAGATAATCTCTAATGATATTTGTTTTCTGCAAATAAGATAATAAATGTTTTTTAAACTTGATTTGGAGGAAGAAACCTTGTATTGTACAATGTCATAATTAATGCATTGTTGTACCTGCAGAAATAAACCAGTAGACGTTGCAATCTGCTTCCAGTCTGGAGTCCATGTTTCTGATTCCGAAGCGAGGACGAGCTTTGCTAAACCTAAACTCACAAGTCCAGCAGCATGATGACAGTATTCATCATAGTCATCAACCGTTTCTACCTGTGGATACACAAAACATTTTCATCTGATCTAAACAAATGCAACTACTTAACTAATATGCTTTTCATAATAGCTAAGTATCTTCTAGATCCAAATTTCAAAGCACTGATATTTTGACCGTTACAAAGAGTCTTCGTATCACAAACCTCTTTGCAAATGAATTTCGCCATTCCTGCACCCATTCTTTTAGTTATATCTTCAATAATTTCTTGAGGCCTAATAAAATCGAAAAAGAAAAACTTCTATTGATACCTTTTGTGTAAATTAATTAAAACAAGATGAATGAATGAATTACTATAACATAAAATGATTTGGAAAAAGCAGTAGAAATAGAATTGCATGTAGCAGATCTTAATTAGAACTAATTAACCTTTTTCCAAGTTGAAGCAAAGCTGCAGAAACACGGTGTAATTGGTCCATTAGAAACTTGTAGTCATTAGTACCACCTGAAGTCGAATGAAGAGTAAGTTATCTGAGTTTCTTCAAAAACAAATCATTCATATTTGAAAAGACTCTTCTTATATACTAACATGAAAAATGCCAGTCAGGATCGTATATGTGACGGTGGAAATCTATCAGAATCGGAACTTTGGTCTCCATTGGTATGCTTGTGTCATCCTCTGTGTAGTAACAGAAAGAAAAAAAAAAGTAGAATTTGCTGTCATTGAAGAAATGAAGATGGATCTATATTATTCATAAAAACATGAATACATATTAAAAAAAAAAAAAGACAGGAGATATAGAGAAGAAGCACTAAGTCACTAACCAACTGTATCAAGAGCTCGGAGAATCAAGTATAACACACACGCCTGATTTGAAAAGAAAATAAAATGGTGAAACTCTTGCTGTGTATGACTAGAAAAATGTAACGTAGCTATCTATCTAGAAAAAGGCAAAGAAATACTTACGGTGTTACGAAGCTCCTCGGTGCCTAATAGTTGTATAACAAGACAAAAGCTTCTAGAAACTTTGATGAGCGTTGAATAACAGAAAGCTAAAAGTGGATCAAGTGGGATCTGTTTCTGAGCTTTCGTAATCGCAATCTTCAACTTCAAGAGTGGATATATCTCATCTGGGTGCCTCAGAATCGTACTCAAGCTTCCCATTTTCATCATGAATTCTATGCAGAAGCAGAGGAAAATAGTCAGTGGAAACAATGCCGGTTTCGTCGGCGAACTGAATGCAAAAGCAGTCTTTATTTATAGACTCAAGATTCAAAGATGTTAATATTTTGGCATTTAAGCACTTGGGAAGCTTAAATGCCAAAATGCTTCAAATAACAAAAAAAATAGCAGTCTCTTAAACCCCAGGACTAATCTACACTTTGGATTGGAATTTCCAAATAATAGATGGTAAATTACCCAATCAAAAAAAAAAAAAAAGATGTTAATATTTTGGCAGTCTTTATGCATGACTCTCTTTTTTTTATTGGGTAATTTGCCATCTATTATATTATTTGGAGATTCCAATCCAAAGTTTAGATTAGTCCTGGGGGTTTAAGAGACTGCTATTTTTTTGTTATTTAAAGCATTTACGATGATTAATTATTATTGTAATCGTAATGGAAAAACTATAATCGATAAAGAAAAACTAGGGCACTACCTTTCTTTGAACTAAATTAACATGTTAAAGTAAAATGACCGCCACATTCACATGTTGTCTAGTGCCTTCTTTCACAAGTAACGGATACCTTCCTTTGAAAGTTAAAAACCCGCATGTGAATTGGGAAAACCAATATAATCTCCTCTGATTACATTAAATTGATGCGGTTTTCATAAGTGAGTGTTTCTTTTGTACAGTCCCTCTAGAATTTTTTCATTAAAGTGATTTTTTTTTTCTTTCCATCTAATTAAGTAATTTCATTAACGTGTGTGCAGAGCTAAAGAGGTAAAACAAAACAATAGAAATTTATTTGCAAAAACTCAAATTCGATTATACATTTATACATAGTACATATTGAAATCCGCCGCAGCAGAAAGTGAAAATAATTCTCACTTAAATGAACCAATATTTCTATATACTTGTATGTCTTTATTTCTTGGCTTAAAATTGAAGGTAACATTTGGTTCCCTTTGTTCGATATGGAATTAAGTTGCTTGTGAGGAAGAGTTGTGTGTCCTCTGTAGAAAGAAACAGATTCACACGCTTTTCAGAAGTCCATGTTCATGAGGATCAGATTCAATGCGGGTTTCATTTTCTGATGATGCCACTTGAGAAAGGGTTAAATTTCTAGGTATAATCTCGATACTGGATTTGGCTCTTTGGCATTTGATGTAAACGCTAAAGTCTCTATCTATCTTTATATGTGTACACACCTTTTAATTTTTGGGTTTTATCTGCGACTTTTGTCCTATTACTTTCACATAATGATTCTTTTTTCAAGCACTGGTCTTTCAAAATTCTCGATTCCCTGTCACTAGTGTTTGTTCAAGTTACTTTTCTCTTTCCTTTTTAACAAAAATTCGTGAGCTTGATGGAAGAACATAAAGTGTATAAACAAGGGAGAGAAAAAAATACATGAAGAAAGGCACGTTCATTCCAACTCCAGAAAGATAACGTAACTAAATAGAAACCTTAAGGATTCAAAGCAAACCAAGTTTAACAAGGAAACAATCAGTTCCGTAAAAAGACTGACAAGAAAAGAGAGTGACGTAAATAAAGATTTGATAATACCTTCAAGGAACCTAGAAATTATTAATTTCAAGATCGTAAAGTGTTATAGTTTAGAGCCACTTACATTGATTTGTGTCTTAGATATGCAAAGAGCAATATGGCTAGTAGAACCACAAGCATTGCAATCTGAAATTTCCGGATTTAGAAGAGGGTGATTAGTAAACCATGCTAACAAATTAGTTACGTTCTTTGAAAACGAGATTGAAATTAACTTACAAAGAGAGCCTTTGGTTGTGTTTCGCCGTTTACATATAATTTTCTGACAAGAAAAAAAAAATAGAGACAATTTCACTAGAACTTCACCAAAAATTAAAAGATTGTTCTCTTATTGAGATGCCTTCATTGGATTTTAAAACGTAAAGATTATAAAAAGCAACGCTTCGTACGAAGAAGATACCAAGAAAAAAGAAGAAGAGACTACCTCTTGTGGAGGTCTCCATTTTCTCTGCAGATTTTCTTGATGGTTTCAAGTTGTTTTAGTGTTTTCATTGCATTTGGATCGTTCTTGTCAACCTGTTAACACATGTCAATATAAAATTAACACTGAATCACCTTCTAACTACCAAACAATAAGCACTGGAATGGCTATAAAAATCCTGACCCATTCAAAAGACAAACATCAAGATCCTATGTCAGGGACAGTATGTATACCTTTTTTACTATAATGCAAGAAAAATCATAGAATGCTCCATAGACATCATCCATTGTCTTTGTGCGATCATATACTTTAGCGACTATACCTAAACCACATAAATTATTAGTCAATAAATCAGTCTTCGCATAGCAATGTTCGTAACATAACTCAAAAACTAATTAATGATTAGCTTTTGACTGTAATTAAGCCTTAGGGTTTTAGATGATGAAATTGTGTCAAAGACATCTTACCTTTCCTAAGTTTCACGACCCCTCTAAATACTTGTACATTGTTATAGCATAATGCAAGTGTTCCAATTGCCATGATCTGATCAAAAATGGAAAATCTTATATATCGATGCAGAGGAGAAAACAATGAGGAGAAAATAGTTAGGTGTGATAAAAATTTATATTTCTCTAACCTGAGGGAGGGAAACCGACTTCAATATTGAAGGAGTACGCAATACAGCCTTGGATTTTAAGAAATCTTCAACATTAATCAATGCATTAGTGACCATTTCATTCAAACACTGCACTGCTTTTGTTGAATTTTCCTCATTTTTTAAGTCCTACATTATAAGAATTCACAAAAAAAAAATGTGTTACTATTTAAGTTTTAACATGAGAGGTTGAGAGTGAAATTATGTATATATGCACCTCGAGTTTGTCAACATATTTTCCCCAAATCTCACGAGGCCAAAACATGCGTGATTTTGGTATTTCATTAATGTCCTCAAGATAATCTCTAATGATATTTGTTTTCTGCAAATAAGACAATCAAATGTTGTTCAAAACGTGAAAAGGATTTTGAGGAAGAAACCTTGTATTGTTCTACAGTGTCATAATTAATACATTGTCGTATTTACCTGCATGAATAAACCTGAAGAATTTGAAATCTGCTTCCAGTCTGGAGTCAGTGTTTCTAACTCCGAAGCGAGGAAGATCTTTGACATACCTAATCCCACAAGTCCAGCAGCATGATGACAGTATTCATCATAGTCATCAACCGTTTCTACCTGTCAATACACAAATCATTTTCATCTGATCTAAAGAAAAGCAACTTCTTTATTAACCAGTTTTTGATAATAGCTAATTAAATTGTAGATTCCAAGTTTCAAAGCATTGATCCACATCACAAAGAGTCTTTGTATCACAAACCTCTTCGCCAATGAATTTGGCCATTCCTGCACCCATTCTTTTAGTTATATCTTCAATAACTTCTTGATATCTTTCGTGTAAGTTAGTGAAACAAGATGAATTAATAAATTAATATCTTTCAGAAGTGAATAAAAAAAATTCAGTAGATATAAAATTAAATATAACAAAATAGTAGACTCTAGTTAACCTTTTTTCAAGTTGAAGAAAAGCTGCAGAAACATGGTGAAATTGGTCCATTAGAACCTTGTACTCGTTAGTACCACCTAAAGTTGAATGAAGAGTAAATCAAAGTTAAAAACAAAAACTAAATGAATCACTTGTTGTATATGAAAGATCATTAAGATGTGAAGAGACTCTTCTTAGTTACATGAAAAGTGCCTGTCAGGATCGTATATGTGACGGTGGAAATCTATCAGAATCGGAAGCTTGATCTCCGTTGGTATGCTAGTGTCATCCTCTGTGTAGTAACAGAAAGAAAAAAAAACAAAGTAGATGATAAATTAACAGTTCAATGATTTTTACATGGATATAAAGATGGATCTATATAGATATTACTAAAAACATGAATACATATTAAAAGAGACAAAAGATTTGGAGAAAAAGTACTAACCAACTGTATCAAGAGCTCGAAGAATCAAGTAAAACACACATACCTGATTTTTAAAAATTAACAAAAAAAAATGGTGAAAAATTTGCTGTATATAACTAAAAGGCAAAGAAAGACGTACGGTGTTGCGAAGCTCGGGGCCTAATTGTTGAATAACAAAAGAAAAGGTTCTAGAAACTTTGATGAGCGTTGAACAACAGAAAGCTAAGTGTGGATCAAGTGGGATCTGTTTCTCAGCTTTCGTAATCGCCATTTTCAACTTCAAGAGTGGATATATCTCATCTGGATGCCTCAGAATCGTACTCAAGCTTCCCATTTTCATTGTCAGTTCTATCAAGAAGCAGATGAAAATAATCTCAGTGACAGTAATGGCGGAGTCGTCGGCGAACAGAATGCGAAAAGCAATCTCACTGACAATAATGACTCTTTTTATATTGGAGTATACTGTACGAAGTAGTATTTTGAGACTCCAATCCAAAGTTCCTATATATTATTCATGGGGGTTTGGTATAAGAGACAGCTATTTTTTTGTTATTTAAAGCATTTACGATTACTAAATTTTAATTAAAATGGTAATGGGAAAACTAGAATCTTTAATCTCTTAATTTACATGAAGGCTATACGCCTATACTTATTTTTGGTTTAACATACTTCCAAGAGAGAACACTTTGTTAAATTAACATGTTTGTGTAAAACTAAAATGACCGTCGTCGTATAGTGCCTTTATTCACAAGTAACCGATACCAATAAAGTCTCCTCGATTCGTCAAAGTCTATGCTCGTTTGTCAAATGGTCTCCTTATATAAATTAATATTTGTTGCTGTTTCCCACTATTGCATTTGCAGAGCCTATAAGAGCTAGAAAAGAAAAAAAAAAAAAAAAAAAAAAAAAAAGAGAAAATATGCAAGAACTTCAATTCGATTATACAAGTATAGTGAAATCCGCAGCAGCAGAAAGTGAACATATTCTCACATTAAAAATGAACCAACTGTATACTATGCATGTCTTTATTCCAACGACAAATAAGATAACATAAGAAAGACTAGGCATTGAGCCATTGACTAAATAGACATCTTTTGGATTCAGAGCAAACCAAGTTTAACTGAGGAAACTTTTTGGAGCATTGAGTAGCAGAAAGCTAAGTGTGGATCAAGTGGGATCTGTTTCTGAGCTTTCATAATCGCAATTATCAACTTCAAGAGCGGATATATCTCATCTGGGTGCCTCGGAATCGTACTCAAGCTTTCCATTTTCATCAAAGAGAGAAAAATAATCTCCTTTGAAACAGTGACAAGAATGTCGGATTTGTTGTGGGAACAAAACAGCACACTTGGTTAATAATGTAAGAGGCAAATGTAGACTCTTAATTAGAGGTGTCAATCGGGCCAGCCCGCGTCCGCCTGGACCTGCCCATTGGGCATCTTCCTTTTGATATGTCCGCGCGGGTTGGCCCGCCGCGAGTTGCGGACAAATTTTTTAGGCCCAAGCCCGTCCCGCATGTTTTGGCGGGTTTTGCGGGTCGGCCCGCGGGCTGGCTCAACATATTTAAGCAAAATTGTCAATCTATTATAGTTTCCATCTCTATGCTCCACGTTGAGCAAGTTGAGTGATCGTTCTGTAGTTTAAAGGTTATAACTTTAGATCAGAACAAGCTTCAACGTTTTCTTGTCTTGTCTACTTCTTTTTTGGTCACTTCCATCAACTATAAAAAGCAAAGTTAGTGAAATATCCATTGCAGGAGCTGGAGAGAGCTTCTCCTCTTTCTTCTTTGAAACGAGTTTCTCAAATTCTGTTTTTAAAACCAAAAAGACATACATGAGTAACAATTTGATTTAAGATAACAAAGAGATGATATCATACAAGTATATGACCAACATTATAAAGATACATCATACATGCATCTTATTGTGTCACGATCAAAACTCGAAACTTCCATTACCATTAACACTCGTCAAAGAAAAACCTCATGTAACAATAATAAGAATAGAAAGAAAAAACATGAACTTTGAGGCAGAAAATCAAAAAGAATAAATCAGAAAATGAGAAGAGTTTCCACGATTGGTTTAGACGGCTAACAAAGCAAATAAATTTGAAACTCCTAACCTGCCAGCGTCCAAGAAACTCGATAGCGTTGTTTTCTAATTCAAGCAAAGCAATTGAACGAAGAATCCAGTAGCAAAACCAAGGTCAACTGTCCAAAAATCCAAAATCCAAGTTAATCTAGTTGGCATCATAAAATCTAAACAAACTCTTGATTCTTGAACATGTGAATTTCTAACCAAATATGTACGAACTTTAAAGGAACATCTAAATTGTCTCAGGTGATTGCCTAAACGAAGAGACTCAGGAAGAAAAAAAACAAGTTTGGAACTTCAGACTGTAGCCATGGAAACAACAGACCAATCACGTTTGATATCCAAAACCACAAAGCATTATCTTTTCACAAGGAGAAAGGTACGTACTTAGCATCTAAGGACGCAAACGATGGACCTAACTGCCTTAACCCATTCATCAGATTACCCAACTGCTTGTCTCGCTTACTCTCCAGCCTAGAACAAGAATTTTCAAAGAAAGATTCATCAGATTATGAAGAATGCTAGTATAAGTCAAAATCAAAATCATCGACATAGAATCAAAATATAAGCTGGGAAAAACTTAAGTAGGTGCGTAATCAATCTTACGTTTATGTCAGCAAGACATCTTAGGGAATGTACATACTCTGAATTTCTTCAATTGTAAGCTTCCATGGAGCTTGAGAAACACTTTGAAATTTGAAGAAATTCGGAAACAAGAATTCTTTTTGCAAACGGAGAGAAATTCTATTTCAAACATAAATTGGAAACAACTCTGAGTTTTCTTTTGTCGGAATCTCCAGTTCTCCATGCCTCGTTGGGATCGAAGTGAAAAATTGTCGGAAACTAGATTTGTGGTCGGGTTGCCCACGTGCCTGCAAACCCGATGCGGGTTGACCCGCCCAGAACCGACGCCCGTATGGGCCCCGCCCGCTAGGTCGCTATTTTGCGGACATATTTTTTTGGGCCCGAGCCCGCCCCACAATTGTCCATATGGGTTTTGTCTGCGGGTTTCGGGCTTGACTGACACCTCTACTCTTAATGTGTGCCACCACGACGATATATGTAGTTGGGTCAATGATGTTTTATTTTGTTTGGCACTTAAACTGCTTTGCCGCGTGCTACACGTGAAACGTTCAAACAAAAGTAAATCCAAAGCCTGAATTTATTTTTTATTCCGAAAAATATAATTATTGCCGACATATGAGAAAACTCGATTGTTAGTTTTCTGTAATATTTTTTTGTTGCATTTGGATTTTTCTGGTTCTTAGTAAACATTCATCTTGGAATTCCAGAAACCGAAATGGTGAGACATGCCAAAAGAAGGAACTAGAAAAGAAAGTAACTTTAAACAGAATATTTCAGCACAACATACAAATGGAGAAAAATAGATGAACAAATGCAGGTTTATTCCAACTACAGGGAAAATAACAGTAACATAAGCAAAATAGAATCCACGGTCTCAGACAGAACCAAGTTTAACAACTCTCTTGTTCTGGAAAGAATCTTGATCAGTTCTAAGAAAAAGAGAGTGGTGGTGAATAAGAAGAATCAACCTAGAATCGTGATCTCAACATCTTTAGTGATGATACAGTATTTTCGATTACTCCATCACTCGGTTTGCTCTGAGATATGCAAAGACTATGGCCAGTAGAATCACAAGCATTACAATCTGCAATTTCCGGCAAAGAAAGAGGATGATGATAAGTAATGTAATTTTTTTTTTTTCAAAAAAGGAGAGATACTTCCATGGAAAAGGGGAAGAATGTAACTTACATAGACATTGTTTGATTGTCCTTTGTCATTCACATAAGATTTTCTGTAAGCGAGAGAGACAAAAGATTCATCACAAACCCAACCAAAATAAATAGATTATGATAATTTTGTTGACTCTGCATAATCTCTAATCAAGACCATCTCACATAAGACTGTACCTCTTATGAAGGACTCCAGTGTCTCTGCAGACTTTCTGAACGACTTCAAGTCGGTCTAGTGTCTTTGTGGCATTTGGATCGTTCTTGTCAACCTTATATATGTACATATATGTCGACATTATTACATTATCCTCTTATAAGAACAGAACAATAAAAGAGGAAATATACTAACATACCTTCGTCTTCAGCATGCAACAAAAATCATAGAACGCACCATAGACATCAGCCATTGTCTTCGTGCGATCAATCACTTTAGCAGTCAGACCTAAATCAACAGACAGTTGTTTTAACAGTATTAGCTTTCAGATGCTTGCTACGCATTCTCAAGCTCGTTGACGATAAAAGTTAATACGTTTCGTATTTGCAGAAACGAAAAGCAGGGAGTGACCAACAGATTTTACTAAGGCTTGGGATTAAAATGATGAGATGGTGAAAAGAAGGCAAATTAAACACATCTTACCTCTTCTCAGTTTCACGACGCCTCTAAATAGTTGTACATTGTTATAACATAAGGCAAGTGTTCCAATCGCCATGATCTGATCAAGGAAACACATCCAAGCAAAGCAATATTAAGTATTAACTTCCAACACATTCTATATCAATGAAGGCACGGTTCAAGAGGAAAATCTGTTGTCACGTGGACAGAAGTTCCTGTAACTGGTTTCATATTACAATGAAAACAATATTTCCCAGACGAGAATTTTAGAGCAAAGTAAAATTTTAGATGTGATATTTATTGCTCTGACCTGAGGGATGGCACAGAACCGAAATATGGAAGGATCACGCAAGGAAACCATGTATTTCAGGCAGTCTTCAATATGCATCAATGCATTGGTGACCATTTCATTCAAGCACTGCACTGCTTTGGTTGAGTTCTTCTCATATTTTAAGTCCTAAAGTGCGATTGATAAATTCATCACGAAGAAGAGCATTGTTAGAAAATAGTCAATATGGGTACAATATTAGACCTATTATGAGAGCTTGAGAGTGATTTGTATGCACCTCGAGCTTCTCAGCATATTTTCCCCAAATTTTGCGAGGCCAAAACATGCGGGACTTTGGTATCTCATTGATGTCCTCCAGATAATCTCTGATAATGTTTGTTTTCTGCATATAACACCAGTGTTACCAAATTATCTGAAGATGGAAATGTTACCAAATTATCTGAAGATGGAAATTGTCAAAGGTTGCAAAATACTTGACGAAGATTGTACATGTCATAATGCATTATTGTACCTGAAGAAATAAACCCATTGAATTGGAAATATGCTCCCAGTCTGGAGTCAAAACTTCTGATCCCGAAGCAAGGAAGAGTTTAGACAGACCTAGACCCACAAGTCCAGCAACATAGTGGCAGTACTCATCGTAGTCCTCAACAGTTTCTACCTGCGTATAACAGGGAAAACTGGATCGGTACACGAATTATTTTAGCCTAATAAGTTTAGATAAATTCACGATTCTAAATGAAACAGAGACCTAGCGCTAGCCAAGTTGTCACCATAACTCAAAATAAATCCACACTACCAAAAAGTTTTGTATCACAGACCTCCTGGCAGATAAACTTGGCCATTCCTGCACCCATTCTCTTAGTAATTTCCTCGATAGCCTCTTGATACCTTCATATACATAAATTAGTATTGTCAGAAAGCAGATTACAGCAGAAAAATAATAACACAGAAGTACAGAACAGAAGAGCATATACTAGAACTAACCCTTTTTCAAGTTCCAAAAAGGCTGCAGCAACATGGTGAAATTGGTCCATCAAAACCTTGTACTCCTTCGTACCACCTAAAGTTGAATGCGTAAAATTCGTAAGTTCAGCAGTCAAATTTAGATGGCATGTGAATAATCAAAATGTAAAGAGACTCTTCGAACTTGCATGAATAGTGCCACTCAGTATTATATATGTGCTTGTGGAAAGCTATCAAGATGGGAAGCTTCTCATCAGTTGGTATGCTTGTGTCATCCTCTGTAATACAAAAAAAATGTATGATATCAGCGGCAGAAGCATGCAGAAGGAAGATGAAACTAACATGAATTGCAGATTTGCAGATTTTGGTGAAGCCTCATCAAATCAAGGTAAAGTTAAAAAGCATTTAGCATAGTAAGGAAAACACTAACCGACAGTATCAAGAGCTCGGAGAACCAAGTAGAACACACACACCTACAAAAAGAAAAGGCAATGGAATCAGATATGTGGAAGATTTTAGAAACAATCTTCTACTCTCATATGACAAGTAGAACAATCGATTCCCAGTTCACCAAAAACAGTATGCATTTACTGCAGCTCAGAGAAACTGGCCGATAATCATTTTCTAGCAATCTGAGAATCATTTTCTAGCAATCTACAGAACTAAGAGTAACACAAACTCTTACGATGCAAATGCATAATACCACAGTGATAAATCAAAGGCACCGAATCTACAGAAGGAAACCAATTATGAGCGACATGTATCAGAAATGATGGTTCTGAGACAGAGAGGCGGAGAGAGAGAAGAACGTACAGCGTTACGAAGCTCGGTACCTAGTTGCTGGATAACGAGAGAGAAGCTTCGAGAAACCTTGTGGAGCATCGAATAGCAGAAACCCCAGTGTGGCTCCGGCGGGATCTGCTTCTCCGCTTTATCGATCGCGCGTTTCATTTTCAAGAGCGGATAGATATCATCCGGATATCTCAGCATCGTGCCCAAGCTCCCCATTGTTTCCGAGTTTGAATCAGAGGAAACAGAGGCGAGAGAAATCTCCTTAACGTCGTCGTCTCCTGAAATCAGTGACAACAATGCATGATTCGTTGGCGAATCTGAAGATTCAGAGACCACTTGAGAGAAGCAGTTAAAAAAAGAGGAGATGTTGCAGGAAGGAACCCTCACCTGCGTATGCGATGTGGAGCGATTCGATTCGGCCAGCGAGATATTCGATTTCAAAATTTTGATGCCTTGATTTAATAATCATCGATGAAAACAAAGGATTCAGGCTTTTTCCCCAGAACCACAAATCACATATTTTTTTATTTTCTGTTTTTAATTAAAATAGAGGTACTGAAAATTGTAAAAGAGCCACGAGAAAAATAAGAGAAAAATGAGTGGGCGTGACGCGTCTAAATTAAATGAAAATAAGTACATATTGGACTACACAAAAAATCAATTTTTTATGTTAAAGGATTACCAATCAATATGTAACATTAATAACTAATATGAAGGTTTTCATTCGTGAACTAAATCATGAATATCAAATTCGTTTCATTAGTTTTAAAAATAAAATATAAATAAGTATGGTCCACACAAAAAAGTGGTATCACTTGGAATATTCCAAACTGAAGAATCGCGCTACTCCGAGTGATATTGCAGTCTGTCATGTGTTTATTTAAAACTTTCTTCAAAATTGCCATGTTTAAAAACAAATTAGCATCATAAAATATTAAAAATTACAGTATAAATTATCTTTTTGTATATTTATCGTCTAAATTAATTAGAAATGTTGGTATTTGGTAAACGGATATACTCGGAAATAACAGTAAGATTTAAATTACTTTATACGAAATGATCAAATTTTTTGATGAAACGTGAAAGAGGTATCTTCGTATCATGAACGGATGAGATCGATTTACAGTTGCAGAAGACGCTGAGATGGCAAAAGGATGGTTACGTGGCAAAACATAATTGGCTTTAGTTACGTATCGTCTACAGTGTAACTACCAATCGCCACACGATAACACACGGTGGTTCTCTCCATTAATGCTTCTATTAAAGGGGTAACTTCCTCCGATGAACAAACAGTCTCGAAATCAAAATTAAGCAACCACGAAAAATTCTCGAAATGGCGATCCGATCTAGAGTTATCACCATGTCTCCTCTCGTTCTCAACCAGGAAGCCGATCTCGAAATTGATCTCGATCTCTGGGAAGTCGTTAACACCTCCGATGGCGAGTATTCCGACGATTCTTTCTCCGTCGATAGTCTCTCCGATGATGACGTCATATCTTTGGACGACGATTCCTTGGATTCGCTGGATGTCGTTTCTCTGCCGCCTGAGATGCTCCCTGAGGCTGCGCCTGAGATGCTCCATGAGGCTGAGGCTGAGGCTGGTGAACTCGCCGCGGATCTGAACCTCGACGGTGATGTCGATGGTGATGGCGATCGCGACAATGTCGTTCCCGATGAAGTCGTTGATACCGACCTTGGATGGGCTCATCAACGGTTGGTGGTTATCCGCGGGGGTACTGTTGTTGGTGTTACGTACGGAGATTATGTTAATCGCCGTGGTTGCTGTTATGATGACGACGACGAAGATCACGGTGGTGATGATGGAGAGTACGACGATTCCTATGATCTAGACGACGAGCTGGTTCCGCGGAGCGCATGTAAGAAGCTGGGGAGACAGAGGATGAGGAAACTGGGGAAAAGAGCAATCGCCAAGGCCTCAAAGACGTCAAAGACGTCTCCGTATGCCCACTTGAAAGCTGGTATCGTTCGCGGTAAGCATGGCATCGGTATGAAATTCAAGTACTGATCAAGGATTCCAAGTTTCGGATCTCGATGATTAAGAATCAAGACATTAGTCATGGCTGATTTCTCTAGAATTCCTTAGTTTCCTTTGTTTTAAGTGATGTGTAATTATGGTAGGTCAATTGCTTTATCCTTTGTTTCTAAGAAAGTAAGATTTCCTCTGGAAATTTCATTGTAAATGAATTCGTTTCTTATTAGAGGTCACGAAAATGGCCAAGGTTCTTGCGACTTTAATCATGCTGTGGATCTTGAGTAATCAATCCTAAATTTATGGTGATTTCAAGTGGATATGAGTTTCTTTTTGTGTATGTGTGTGTTTAGGATAAATTTGAGAAAGACGTCTAAACTTAATGATATAACAGGAAGAAGGTTTATGCTTGGTGGAGGTTAATTTGGTTATCTTTGTAAGCTTAGCAAATTTATGAATGTTGCTGCTTGCTTAAAGAGTCATTATCGTTGGATGTACGCATCACTCTGTGAGTGGTTGAGACTTGTGTGATAGCTTTAGTTTTTGATTTAACAAATGCCTTGAGAATTGATATTGTATCTGACGTTAAACGTGTAAAACACTGTTCGTTTTTCTCGACTGGTTGTGTGAATTGTGAATGTAAGCCGATCCGTCCCATACTATAAAAATATCCTGGAGCGACATGTTTCTAATAATCAATCGGTGTTCTTCAGTTAGGATTTAAGTATGATCGGAAACTGATCGAGTTTTCTGGATATCATCGTATCTACAACAAATTTAGAATATTTGCAAAGCCTTATTCCGATTCGAATATGCAGAGATTAATTAGTATATATGCATATTTACCCCGGATAAATGTTTACCTTTAGAACCAAGGATGATGATTGGTGTTGGTGAGGGTGTGTAAAGAAAGAGATTAGTGCGACATGTCGTTTCTAAGCAAATAAAACGGCACGTAGTACATGTACACGACCATAGAACGGTGCAAAGTTTTGATAATTGCCGTTGTTTTTCTCTCCATGGCCATAGAAGACAGAACGCAGCGGATAAGGGAAAGATAAATCCAAAACCAAAAACCAAAGCTTAAAACCTTATCTTCTCTTTTATCTCCATCCTCATTCCTCAATTTTCAAACAGAGAGAGAGTAGCAGCAGAAATGACGGTGAAGATAAGGCTCGCACGTCTCGGTTGTAAGCATCGACCCTTCTATCGTCTTGTTGCCGCCGATGACAAATCTCGTAGGGACGGCAAACAAATCGAGGTCTTAGGGTTTTTTGATCCGCTGCAAGGTTCGTCTCTTCTCCTCTATCTTCCCTCGCTTCTCAGTTAATTCAACAATTCTAGATGTCTTTGCTTACATGAATTTGCATTTGTACCTCCGCAGGGAAAGACGATGAAAAAAGAGTGAGCCTCAAATACGACAGGATCAAGTATGCTTATTTCTACCTTCTACTCTCTTCTTCTTTGGTTCTGTCACCTTCACATTCCCATTTCCGTGTATAATTAGGCTTATTAGATGTGAATTATTGTTTGTTTCTTTAGTCTGAAACTGTCTTGACACTCTCCAGATGACTCTTCCTAGTGGAATCCCAAAAAAACTTCAATTTGAAATGTCAGTATAAAGAATACTTTAGTTAACCTGTTTTGATGAAAGGGATTAGTTTGTGTGATTTACCAATGAAACTTGAGCATCCAATTGTAGACATATAGCCATGGATTGAGTTTTCTTGTCTCTTTGTCATCTTCATTATCATCAAAAACAATCATCTTCCATAAGGCTTAGTTTTTTGCTTGAATGATTGCAAATTGTATCTGTAGCTAAACTCCCAAACCGGTTTGAAAGAAATTGACTCTCGCACATTTGGTTTTGTGAACGGTTTGAGTTATTATTATCTCTGATCTCTTTCTCTGTGTAGGTACTGGTTATCGGTTGGAGCTCAACCAACAGACACAGTCGAAAACATGCTCTTCAGGGCCGGTTTGATTCCCCCAAAGGCAAGGGTAGTCGTCGGTTCGAAAAACGGAGAGCAATCTGCAAACCTCCATGTTTCACCCATTACCGGTGAAGTCTTGAACTAGGAGGTTTCATGTCATGAGCTAAAGAGCTTTTGTGTCTCTGTGAAAGGAGCTTGATGTAATGTTGTTGTTTCTGTCAAGACTTTTGTAACTCTGACAATGAGTTTGTTGAAATTCTCAATATGGACCTCTCGAGAGAGCTTTTGTTATCATATGACTTCTTTGGGCTTGGGTAATTTTAGGCCCTTGTTTGGCCGAAATTGAATTTGAACTGACAGAAGAAGCGATATATTTTTTTTTTGCTGAATATAAGAAAACGAAGGATGTTGATATTTTTCCAATAAAAATAAATTAACCATAATATTATGTGGCACGTATGAGAGGAAAAAAAAGGTTGGGACGTTTAGCCAGCACTATTGGCCCAACAAAATCTCTTCCTTCGTATCCCAATAGATTATCCACTCTCTCTCTTCAGAAGTGTCCATTGTTCGTATTATTACCGCATCTCTAACTCTGTCTGACCCTCTCACTGCAACATCTGTCCCAATTCAGACAAATTTTTCTCTATTTTCATTACTATACAGATCCCTATTTAATATTTCTTCACAAATCCACCTCAAATTCCTATTTCTTTCTGCTACATCCTCTTTATGTTTGTGATTCTCAATAAATGAATTCTCAGCCCATGGAGTTAACTATTTTGCCGGCCTCCAGTTTGGTCTAAATCAAACACACTGATGAAACAGCTAAGGAGATTTTAGTTTTTACCAAGTTAAGATATAAAGCGATCGACTTATATGTCAAGCAAAGAAGTGAATGCTGAAACTAGAAACATTTGAAAGAAAAGGTACCAATCAATAAATATCTACAAAGTGTTTCCGGAAAATGACAAAACTCAGTGGGGAAGACGGCACTTATGGTGTTTACAAAAAAAAAAGTTGTGTTTGTTAATTCTTGGGACCCTTTGTTTATTTGATAGTTGTATTCAACTATTTGCTCCTCTGGACTACCACAGTCCACGAATATACTTTCACATAACAAAAAAAAAGTATTAAAGAATATGAAGACAGGAAGAAGAAACCATAGTGGAATAAGTAAAGTACGTAGCTAATGCTAAAATACCGAATAATACATTAGTCATGCGTACATTTCTAATGATAGGTTAGTGAACTCATTTGAGATATTACTCATCAATCGAAATTGGATATAATCTACGAATCCGCTACATTTTGTTGCAGACTTGCAAAATTTAATCGTTTTTTATTCACGCACATAAGTATTTAAATTTGAACGCGAGATATGACATAGGAGCAACACTTGGGTACAAAATTTTATCGCAAAAAATTATTTTAACATATTTAATAGTTTGTTAGAAAAATATATGATAGTTTTTAAATAAATTATCTATAAAATAGATAACACAACCAAAACTGGAGATGAAAAGGTTTTTCTTCAGTTTTGAAGATTAGTAGCATCTTCGATTCTTTAACTCAAATAAAGTAAGAGAAAAATGGCAGAATGTGATTGTATGGTGGATATTGATTTAATCAATATGTTTTACGGAGACAGAGAGAGATGAGGATTAGGATTAACTTTAGGATTAGGAGAATAATGAAGAGAAGGGTTTAGCCGTTTAGGTCGACCAACTGGTTGTTAAGGATAGAAACTCCTTAACCATACATTTATATCATTTCTTCTCTTTACCAATGACTTGACTCCAAGATTCAACAAGCAAGAAGCAAGAAGCAGGAAGTTCAAGCACCAACCAGATTATGGCTTTCTTAAGCAAGATTCTTCAGAAAACAAAGTTTTGATTTGATCTCTCTCTTTTCCCCTTTTATTTTTTATATTAAAAAGGAATAAAAAGTTTTTATTTGCTTTTTTTCTTTCTTTCTTCTGAGGGAGGGAGAGATGGATATGGGTCTTTCACGTGTGACATTGATGAGGAGATGATGATTTCAAATTATATACCATTAGAAGAAAAGAAAAAAGCACAGGAGCAAAAGGCGTAACCTTTGATTCTTTCTTTTATAAAATTCTTGGGAGAAAGCAACAAAATCTTTCACATTTTGTAATTTTGGGATCATCATTTTTTTCATTCTTTATTCACTTCTAGGATTTGGCTTGTCTTCTTGAACAAAGCAGCAGAGTATATCCAGGTAAATTTACTAATCTTTCTTTATTTCTCTTTCAACTCCATAATTGCATGCATATCCCTAAATTCAAAACATGATGAAATCTTTCATGTTTTTTTTTAGCAATAGCTCTGTTTCAATTGTTTTTGAATCTGTCTTTAATTTCAAGTTTTTCCTCCATTAGTTAAGTTCTTATAACAAGTTGGACAATTTTAAAAGGAAACATTTTGATTTTGATGACCTGATCACAGGACAAGGGACTATGGAGCTCAACTGAGCCAAGAACAACACTCCATTGATACATTGTCGATGGAGGATTATCCGGAAACTCAGTTTCGTCCCGGAAATGCAATGATCCACATGAATCCAACAGTTTCTTACTCCGAGGAATCAGCAGGTAGAGATAGAACTGAAGCTAACAATGCCTCAGCCTCACAAGATAGTAGGCAAGTGTTGTCAAGATTTGGCGGAATCTCGCAAATGCAGGACATTCAAGATTTCGGTTCTTGGAGAGATCAAGAAAGTGGCAGGAACAACGGTTTCCAGCTAACCAGCGGTGCCACCACCGGAGTTCATCAGACCGGTCAGGGATTGTCTCTTAGCCTCGGTTCACAGATTCTCCCTGGAATTCATCAAATGAGCCATCAGACTATGGCGCCAAGAGCCGAGCAATACAGAGGCAATGAGTATGCAACACAGAGCTTTCAGGGAGGGAATCAGAACATGGATGTTGCGAGAACAATTCCAAACTCAAAGTATCTCAAGGCGGCTCAACAGCTTCTAGATGAGGCTGTTAATGTAAGGAAAGCTCTGAGAGAAAAGAAAAACAACGAGAACCCTCAAGAAGTACCGGATCAGAACCCTCAAGACTCGAGCACGAATCCACAAGCTGAAATCTCTCCATCGGAGAGACAAGAAATGCAGAGCAAGTTGACCAAACTCTTGTCAATGTTGGATGAGGTAATCACGTAAATCCACAAATTTTAATATTTTTAAAATCCAAATGCTAAGCAAGCATGTTTCATTTAAAATAAAATAAAATGCAAAAGCATTAATTAGCGTTTAAAACAAAACAGAGCCATAATGTTGAAATTATTTGGTATATAATTAGGAATTGTTGTATTTGATATTTTTGGTAAAGGTGGATAGGAGATATAAGCAATATTACCAGCAGATGCAGATAGTTGTGTCCTCCTTCGATGTGATAGCAGGTTATGGAGCAGCTAAGCCATACACAGCACTCGCTCTTCAAACCATCTCACGCCATTTCCGTAGCCTAAGAGATGCGATATCAGGACAAATCCTCGTGACAAGAAAGTGCCTCGGGGAACAACAAGATGGATCAGATGGGAAGAGAGTTGGGATCATAAGCAGGCTTAAGTACGTTGATCAACATTTAAGACAACAGAGAGGGTTTATGCAACCTCAGGCTTGGAGGCCTCAACGTGGTCTACCTGAAAACTCTGTTTTGATTCTCCGTGCTTGGCTCTTTGAGCATTTTCTTCACCCGTAAGTCTCTTCTTCATGCATGGTTTCTTCACGCAGGATTTTTTCATAACAAAATGTTGATAACTTTTTTGAGAATGTGAATAGTTATCCAAAGGATTCTGATAAGATCATGCTAGCAAGACAAACAGGCTTGAGCCGGGGTCAGGTACCAAATGCTTTATTTGAAGATTGTTTCTTTGTTTTTCATAGTTATTTATTGATTGTTGTTATGTGTTTGTGAAAGGTTTCAAACTGGTTTATAAATGCGCGTGTGCGTTTATGGAAGCCAATGGTGGAGGAAATATATAAGGAGGAATTCACAGAGAATGATTCCAACTCCTCTTCCGAAAATACACCGAAAATGTCAGAGACAGGACCTCCTGCTACTGCCGACGAAGACCGGACCAAACCGGATCATGGACATGGATATGGTGTGGAAACTTGTGGCATGGTCCAGGGCGATCAAATGGATGGTGGGAGGTTCATGGCGGTTGAGCCTACGTATCATGTGGCTGAGATGTCAAGGTTTGGTGGTGGTGGTGTGTCTTTGACTCTAGGGCTTCAAAACTCTCAAGGACGTGATAATGTTGTTGCTATGTCTAGTGAGGCGTACAACAGCTTTCCCGGGGTGGATATTTACGAGAATGCCATCCCGGGAGATGAACTGGAGTATGTAAACCCCGGGAGTCGCCAGAGCCGGATAAGTTCGTCACAATTGGTACATGATTTTGTAGATTGAAGAGGAAAGCAATGGAGAAGAATAAAGTGTAGGTGTGAGTGATGTTATGATCAGTCTCAATTCACACACTAGTGGAATAGAGTTGGTCAGAGAAAAAGTTTTTGGAAATATTTGTATAAAGAAAACATTCTTTTGTGTAAGAAAATATAAGTGAGGTTAGGTCACTGGGACCAAACACAACATAAGAAATGAATTTTGAGCCTGTTGTTAAACGCATTCTTTTGTTTTCTGTACTGCTGTACAAGAATAATTACAACCATAAGACTTGAAACTTTAGTGGAAGCTTTTAAACAAACAAAAAAAAACGGTTGAAAATACTTCTTGGTTTGTTTCATTAGTAAATGAATATGGTTCAATGCCTTACCATCGAATTAATTGCATGTTGCATGAAGCGGCATGCACTATTCACACCAAACTCATACAGTCACACTCGTGTGAGAACACTATAGAATCGTTTACCAGATGAATAGATGATATATAATCATATTTTCAAACTTATATGATAAATCGGATTATCAATCCAACTTAATGCAATGTTAGTTTTTACTTTTTAGGTATATTATATATTTTACATCTCATAAAGGCGGAATCTATCACAAAGACTGATATGATCAGTTGGGAATAAGCTTGAAAGGAGGCCTCACGAGCTTTGGTTTAGGACTGAAGTGACCATAGTCTCTTGAATTCATCCTCAAAATTCTCTCATGTTCATGTATCCTTCTTTCCACCACCTGTCCACATGTAGAATATATTTATTCACCAACGTATATAACTCTTATTATTCTTGAAAATCAAATTATTTTGTATTAGGATAGCTGTGAATACACAACGCAAGGTTTGTTGGCAGTGTTTTTGGGGTAAATTGACTAACCTCCTGATTATTATCCTCTTCGCTATAGATTAGTATGGATGGTCGACCTACAAAAGACAGAGATTTGTTTGTTCATAATATCCAACATAAATCACTCCAAATAATGCTAACATACTATGTCTTAAGTTTTAGCCATCAAGTTTTTAGAAACGCACATGTGCAGCACAAGTTCTTAATGTTAATTATAATATAACTTTTTTCGGTAGAAGACTGAACAAGTAGTAGGCACATGGAATTGCGAGAAAGCTGCAAACATATATACAAGTAGAGCGAGAAAGATTAGAAACAAACCTGCAGAAGAGAGAGCAAGCGCTGAAGCTGAAATAAGAAGAAAGATGAAACCTAGTTTCTTCACCAATGGCAATAAACCCATCTTCTTCTCCTTTTCTCTATGAAAAAGCCGGGTTAATGAAAGTGTTTGTTGTGCACTTAAGCTATATCTTGTGGATTTAGATACACCTTATCACAAAAAGAGAATGCCATACGTTTGGTATATGATTATATATAATCTCATAAGAAAAGAACAACACCATTACAAGTTAACTCATTCCCTTCTAATTAAACATAAATATAGGTTTTACGTACCTTTAGAGATTAGTTTGTGTTTTAGAATGCGATTGTTCCACTAAAAAATAATATAAAATACAATTTCAAATTTGATTTATCGATCATCTAATTCAGTTAAATATCTGTTAATGCTTTTTGGTTTTATTTATTAATTGTTCATGAAAATGGTGGGATCGGAGAAAAAGTTGAAAGGAGACCACTTTCCTATTGTTAGCCACCATAAGTCTAAAGAAGTTAGTGGCATGATGACTTATTTAATATGAGTGACTTTATTGTTTAATTAGGTAATAGACAACAATCATAACCCAATTATCAATCATCATATATAATGGTAGAGTCCTTGATGAAGACTAGGTGTTCAATGCCGGTCGAAGTTCTATTCTTATTCTCCAATCAAGAGGAATCGCTAAATATAACCAACTGAATAATTTTTATTGAAACGATCATCTATGTTTCCTGAATCACATAATGTTTTGAAAAAAAAAAAAAAAAAAAAAAAAAACACACACACACACACACAATATGCAAAGGTCAAACTTTAATTGGATTGCTGATTGTTACTATGGAAAAGAGAAAGTTGTTTTGTTTAAACTTTGCTTTGATGAACTGATTCGTCACAATAAATAACTTAAATGGATTGCTGATTAATTGAGATCATGGAAAGAGAACAAAGTTGTTTGAACTTTGCTTTAGTGAGCTGATTCGTCACTATAATTAAATTTTCGACGTATTATCTTATAGTTAGCTTAAAATAGGATGTAAAGATAATGTAGTGGATGATGACCGTACTATCACAATCCTTAATTTCAGTTGTGCTTTGATTTCTTACAAATATTTTAGAAGCTAGAGTATAGTAGTATGAAAAAATGCACATTAGCTTAACTTTAAATCATCACAATAGTGTAAACCTGTTGGACTTTTTGAATGGTCCATAAATTGTTAGATTATTGAAGATGTGGTATCATATCACTCTTCTGATTAGAGGCCCATTCTGTGTTATGCTGTGTATGCGCAATTACTCTTTAACTTTTAAACTTGTTGATGAAGAAACATAAACCCTAAAAAGAAGAAGATGACCAATAACCCTATTACCTATAGCTCCGCCTCATGAGAAAGAAAAAAAGATGATGAATCCTACAACAGCTCCTCCTACAACAGAACCTTATTATATTTGGTTCTAATAAGACGGAGACAAGCATTCGTGCTTATGCCAAAGCTGTTTTGTAACATTTTTTTTTATTTTCGGTTTTTATGTGTTTGATCTCTATAGTTGAACTTACTTATCATTGATTTTATTTGATATTCATCTTTTCAAGGGCTGGTCTCTGCTTTGCCTTCTCAATCTTGTACAAATTTTACACCGACAACTACTCAAACGGATGTTCTCTCTTACGTGAGATCATCAACATGGAAGTGTTTGTCTAGATTTGAAGAGATTCAAGTTGGTATGTTCTTTTCAGGATATTTATGAGTTTTTGTATGATGATAGTTTGTTGAAACAAACTTTAAGAGGAGAGAAAGCGGTGAAACTGAAACCCATCTTTTCACCAATGGCAATAAACCTAGTTTCTTCTTCTTTTCTCGATGAAAAATCAGAAATGTTTGATGTGCTCTTAAGCTAATTATATTGTGGATTCATATACACTTTGTCACAAAATAGTGTAAACTTGATGGACCGGCTAAACCCTCTGAGTGGCCCATAAATTTTTAGATTATTGAGGCCATAAATATTAGAATAAAAGATGTTCATCAACATATTCCTCGGGCCTATGTTATGATTTTTGAGGTTTTGTGGTTTTCTTGATGTTGGGCCTTTAAAACTAATTAGCTTTGCTTTCACATGCATAAACTTCTAGGTTTTATAGCCTCCTCCGTTATGAGGAGATGACGAATAATCCCAAGAAAAAAAAAAGAAGATAACGAATCCTACCAGAGCTCCTCCTCCACCTCCGTCGTTTTCATCACTTCCAGATGAAATTGTTTTGAGCTTCTTAGCCCGGATCTCGAAATCTTACTACAGCTCCCTCTGCTTAGTCTCCAAGAGTTTCTACTCTCTCCTCTCTTCTCCGGAGATCTACTCGGCTCGATCCGAAATCGGAGCTAGAGAGCCTCGCCTCTATTTGTGTCTACGGTTACCCAAGTCCCCCGATCATCATCATAGCTGGTTCTTTCTCGGCGAGATTGAGGGCGAGTTGAGTTCAGTACCGGTAAGACTCTCTTCCTCGCATTCTCTCGAACGATTAAACTCAACCACTGTTGCCGTGGGTCCCGAAATCTACCAAATCGGCGGAAGCAACGACAACAAACTTTACTCCAGTGCCGTTGATGTTTTTGATTGCCGGAGTCACATGTGACGTGGTGCTCCTAACATGACGGTGGCAAGGAAAGGGGCAAAGTCTTGTTTCTTCGACGACAAGATATATGCAATAGGAGGTTGCATGAATAGAGAGGAATCGACGAATTGGGGTGAGGTTTTCGACCTAAAGACTCAGACTTGGAAGCCATTGCCTAAGCCTCCTCTTATTGATGATGATGATGATGACAAAGTTGCAGTTTTTGGAGAAAAGTTATATTTCTTCTCCAAAAGTGACGCCAGGTATGCATATGATCCGAAAGAAGGAAGATGGGTACCAGAGTTTGGGTTTGTAGGTCTAGAAGCTACAAGTATAACTGGACCGTGGTGCGTTATAGGAAACGTAATGTTTGCTGAATATGACAAAAAGTTGAAGTGGTATAACCCAAAGTACAAAAATTGGTTGAGAGTTTATGGGTTGAATCAAGTCTTGTATTCGAAGCGTAGGTACTGTCACCGGACGATTCAATTAGTTAACCATGGTGGGAAACTGATAATTGTATGGCATGAGTGGGTCTGGATGGCAAGGGACTGCACGAGCCCAGACCTGAAAATTTGGTGTGCGGTTATTAGGTTGGAGGAGCGTTTGACTTCTCGTTTAGGACCCCAAATGTGGGGGGAAGTTGAACGTTGTAATATTGTCGTGCCTTCAGTCCCAACATCATATAAGCTCTCGACCTGCCAATCGATTTCATTCTGAAACTCATCTTTGCTTTCATCATATTTTTCAAATAGTTATTTTATTTCTGTTCTAATAAGATGAACAATCGGGTTAAATCAGAGACAAGCATTTGTGCTTATGCCAAAGTGTGTTGTGACATCTTTTTGATTTATTTCGGTTTGTATGTGTGTATCAACGACGGCTATGACTTTTGACTTCCTAGCTACCACATTAATACGTGAACTTCTCATGTATACTAATAATTCGAATGGGATTTTGATTTGGAATTGGCTCTAAACTTAGCCGCCTCTACTTTTCTTGTCTCATCATGGAATTTTTGTTTTTGGTGACTTTGGACCGTTTTGAATTTAAATATTAGTTCATTAATAACGATTTTTCACACCTATCGTTAATCTTTATCTAGTTTTACTAATACCGAAACAATTAAAATAAGTTCATAGTATAAGTTTTTTTTTTTTTTTTTGACCTCAAAACTCATGTTTATTAATACTACCTGTAAAATATTTGCATTTGTTTGCCAAAGTCTAAAAAATTTCCCCTCCTATAACCAAAAACAAAAGGAGTCTAGACTCTAGATTTTCCCTCTTTAATTTGCTTTGAACCTTTAGAGGAATAAGGTATACAAAAAGCACCGACTTCTTCCTGTTATTGGCTCTGGTACACTGGTAGTCTTTTATTTCTGGAGGCTTTTAGAAACACTCTCTCTAACGGTTGGTTATTTCTTGATGAACTCTACTAACTACTGTTGAGCCGTTGACACTGACCCTAATCCATAAAATAATTTTATCACAACACAAATATTATTCATATAACCAAAAGAAACTTAATTACAATGCTTACATTATATTTGTTAAAATGTAGGCATACACCAAGTTTGTCTGTTCAGGTATATCTAAGAGAACGAATGTATTAAGAGCCCTAGCCAAAATTAAAACACATAGTATGGCTTTTTCTAATCTATCGAGTCTTGAGTCTCTTGACACATGCACGATATTCTCAAGCGTGAAGAGTCAAGAAGGATACTAAAAACTTGAAATAAAGGTAGCAAATATTGCAATTATCAAATAGAAGAGTCCTTTATATGATTAATAAAAAGAGGCTTCTGTTTGTATTAATATACATGAATAAATCGTCCGTGATCAATGGATATAAAACAGTCTACGGAGCATCTAAAAGTATAATACTGCCACAAAAGGGTAGAATATGATTCCCCATTATGACTCACGATGAAGTATAACCATTATTTTACCATGTACTGGTGCATGACTCTATTGGTGATAAATCGAACTTTGAAACTAAAAATTCAGAAAAGAAATTCGAGATAAGAAAATAATTAAAAAGGTGAGTGATGTGTAAAAGCAAAGAATACACGATGCTAGGATTTCTCCTATAACAGAAAGCATATAGTACACATCAAAACCTCCCAAATTCACTAGAAATTGATTCGTTAAAACATTTTACAAGAATATGCGGACGTTAGTACGTTACGATACCTTAGATTTGAGTGATCTCCATACATTCAAATTATTCTATTAAACACCTTGTACGTTCGTTATTTTTGCACTGATGATGAAAAGATTAATCACATTTCTTCTTTCACCGGTTCAACACCATTATAGAAAACATGTTAACGTTTGAATGCTTAAATTGAAATACATGTGCGAGAGTCGTAGACGACAAGGAACATTAAAAGAAATACATGTATACGCTATTTTATTTGAAGGCGTAATTATGCAGAGTGCAAGTGATATTTTGGTCTATGATAGTATGATATTGCCAATTAATTACAGTACAGTATTTGCTTTAATAATGACAGTTATGAAAACTATATAATAAAAGCATAATGACACTTTGTACTCATGCGGCAACAGAGCCTTTATTACAAATACACTCATAACGATGCTTTAAATACCTAACGCCAAAGACGGAACAAAGCCTAAGAAAAAAAAAGAAAAAAGAACAATCAAACAACGTAATCATAGTACTATATAATTATATTTATCTCTTTTGGACATGTCTTAAAATCAAAACAAAAAAAACGGTCCCATGTTTGTGATTTCGAGGTTTATGTAGGTCCACATTTTCTAATACAGTAACGCATCAGAAGACGCCATGAGAGGCTGGTTCATATAAAACATGTTCGTACTCATCTGATTCACGAGGAAATCGTCACACTCTGGACCAGAAGACAGAGAGTTCGAACAGATCCCGCTTGTGGTGTTGTCGAGGAAGTCGACGATGTCGTTGAGAGATTCGAGCCTGTGGCTGAGTTCGTCAAGCTGAGCTCTGAGAACAGAGTTCTCTGCTTCGACGGCTAGGTAGTGCTGCGTCGTGATGCTGACACTTGTCACGATCTCGTTGTTCTCTTTCTTAAGCTGATTAACCTGAGCCGTTAGATCGTCGAGGAGTCTCTGTTTCTTCATCCTCGACCTCCTCGCTGATTCACGGTTCGACAGCATCCTCTTCCGCTTCCTCTGCTCCATGAGACTCTCCCCCGATCCCGACGACGTTTGGATCGTCGACGAAGTTGTTCCCGACGACGACGATTCCATTCAGTAAACACACACAAACAAACAAAGAAGTTTTTTTCACGAGAAACTGAGATATTATTACAAATGGATTATTTTTATTTTTGTAGGAGAAATTAAAAACAGGACAGGACCCAACTCGATGACGAACACGAAGAAGAAGTTTTTTAAAACAAAAAAGGATTTTTAAAACTAGGGTTTTAATGTAGTGTTGCGTTTATATAGGGAAGACTAAATTTGGAGAAAATGAGAAATCATGAGACGTAGTAAAGCCAGTAAAGGAAGACAACAGAGAAAGATTGAACGAGATGGGTCCTGCGCCTGATTGTGGAGTTTAACATAAACCCAGAGAGGAAGATTTCACTGAGTATTATCGGAGACATGTGTCTCAAACACCAAGAACTGCTCGTTAAGCATCAATGGTTTTTTCCTATTTTTTTTTATATATTAGAACTACAAAAGCTGAGATCTCTAGGATGAAACTGGAAAACGAAATGAGGAGAAGAAGAAGAAGAAGAAGGAAGGCGAAATCTTCAAGTGAGAGAAGGAGAGAAGAAGAGAAGGGGGAGATGTGAATGGTTCAGGAGGATGAATTTATAGAAGAAAAATTCAAGAAAAGCGTTTGAGTGTTAGTGCAACTTGACGAGAAGCTATACATTTGTTTGATTCCATTAGGCAGAGAAGATTCTTTATTTATTTTATCTTTATTTTCTTCCTAACTTCTTTTTAGAAACATTTTTTTTCCTACCCTTTAAAAAAGGTTTATAAAGTTGTATCTACATTAGTCGGCAATATTTTGTTTTTAAAAAGATGTGAAATGTACTTCTTTATAATTATATATCTTCTGTAGAGAGAAATTTCAAAAAAAAAATTAACAGTAAATGTGATTTCTTTTAGGAAGGAAAGTAAAAATAAAAAAGAAAGTACACATTATTTTTCAAAGACAACTGCAGATGAAAACTTTTCTTTGTTTTCTCTTTTCTTTTTCTATCCTAAAAGCAAAAATTAAGCTGATAGAAAAACGATAATTTAGTCATTTGTTGAATTTTCTTAAGTAAATGATAAATCACATATTCATGTAACGACAAAAAGAAAGGAAAAATATTAATATTCGTAGAATGTACTATCTTCTTTATTAAAAACCATTGAAATCAGAATCTGTCTGGGTCTGGGCAATCTATGAAACACATACTTAAAAGTTAAATGCCACCAACACTAAACAGAATATCACAAACGTAAATAAACTAATGAAAAGCCTGAAATAATAATAAGTGATTAGAAACACAAAGGAATCTATTAAGCAAAAAGTAAAACACACAACGGAATCTGTGCTTAGAGTAAAAATGAAGAACATGTGTAAATAGGCAGCAGATGAAGAAAAGTTGAGAGGGACATGTGAGGTTGGGAAGAGAAGTCTCCAGACTCCAACACAGCTGTTTCTTTTCTTATTATTCGCTTATTTTTTTATTCTTCTTATAATTATTCTCCAGATTTTTTTATGAAAAAAATTACGTACTATTTAATTATTCAGATGCTGATAGTGTTTTAGGGGATGGCAGTTTATCAGAGTAGTATATGCTAATTAATGTATTTCCACCGTCTTAATCATAATTGATTACTTTGCCTTACAAAAACCCAATTCACGATCAAAATCATTACACTCATTTCTTTTTTAAAGTTTATATTTTGGGGAGGTGTGCAAGAGATCCACTAATCCAGTCCACTTCCCAAAAAGATGCATGAATTTCACCAAACTGCTTTTTTTAGTCTATTTATAAATAAATCAAAACTGTAAACAAATTTTACCTTTTTAATTTGTCTACATGGTAAAAAAGTTCTTGTTCAGAAAATTTACCAATATATCCGCTACTCTTAAGTAATGGTACTATTTCCATTATCATTTTGGTGATGTTGATGTTACTCCAGATTCGACAAACGTCTCTCCGGAATCCTCAAAAAGGATCTGAGAAAGTACATGTGTGTCCATCTACTACACGTCCACGGTTCACTTGATTACAGTTTTGATTTACGTTTAGATTGAATATTTTAAACTCAAAGTTCAATTATTATTTTCACAGTGGCTACTGACGTTAGTAAAACATCTTTTGGCTTTTGAAAGAAACAAAAAGCATTCATAATTTCATATGATCCTCTGTTTTTATTTTCCTGAGCTCCTTTGTGTATATCGCTATCTCTAACAATCAAAATCTCCAATAATTTACGTATAAAGCAATTGCGGAGAGAGCTATATTAGTAGAACATCCATTGATTTGGTTGATATGTCTACACGTGTTTCCTTTTATCTCCTTTATAATGTTGTCATTAGAAACCAATTTCGTTTCGCAACAAAATTAGTTTTCAGATATTTTATTTCATATATGATAGATCGAAGGACATGGTGCTTTCTTTGATATAAATTAATATAAATGTTAAAGTATTGTTGCGAGAAAATATGATCCGTAGATATCATGGAAGGTACATATAATCTTT